AACATGATTTCGGTCAATAATTTTGCCCCTTTAATAATACTAATTGGTGTTGTATCATTGGAAAGCCTGATTAATCACCTTTACAACGAGGTAAAACTTGTAAGGATTGTCCATTCTTGGAATGAGCAACACAGCTAAACGTGTGGGTAGCGGCCAAAAAGAATGTGCCAAAATCCCCTGCAATGTTCTTCTGTTGATATTAACTCCTGTTTTGAGCTTCAAGTGCTGCCAGGTGTGTGCCAGGTACAGGTGTATGACTGGCACCTAGTTGACAGCACTTGTGGGATCAGCTTGCAGCGTGCTGTACGTGCTAGAGTGACCAACACAACTGCGCTGGTTGACCTTCAACAACTCCTGGTTGAGGAGTGGGATGCCATCCCACAGCAGAATGTGACCAGGCCGGTGACCAGCATGAGGAGGAGGTGCCAAAGCTGTTGTGGCTGTTGTTTCTTTTAAGTGGCACATTGCTTGCGTTACAGGTACAGGACCTTGGACGTGTCGGCACCAATACAAATCCTTTTGTCCTCATACAGCACAGGGTTGGTTTTGTTTGCTTGTATTGCCAGGTGTAAAATATAATCCTTCTCCCTGTAGTTGATAAATCTAATCTGGCCCGTGATACTCCTCGGCTTTCCACCCTCCTCTGCTCTGGGTCTGACTCAGTGTGTGCAATCTCTTTTGTGGGCCGATTTGGAAGTTTGTCTCGTCTCAGCATCTCTACTAAAAGTTTTCTCCAAAAAACTCTCCAGCTCCCAGGTCCTGCAGCTCACTGGAAAGCCGTGGAATCAAAGATTTGAGCGGAGGCTTTTGTTGTCCAAGTCAATCTTAATTTCCATTTTCTTTATAATGTCTCCTTGGTTCCTTTACCATTTCCCTCAGAGCAGCGTTGGCGTCCTCTTTGTTGCTGAATCATCGCTCAATCTCAGTCATCCCCTAAAGTCATAATAAAGGGATGTTCTTGTTCCCTTCGCGCATTTCGGCCAGCAGCATTTGCACGTTGATAAAAGCCGGCTCCACCATGCCGGCGTTAATTGCTTTGTTTGTTTGTTTGTCATCTTTGTAGAATTTTAGACCAGGCTCTTTTTTTAGTTCGGAAATTGGTTTGTGTATCCCGCAATTGTACTCTTGTGACCACACTATGCCATTATCCCTCTACAAACATGGCCCCTGAGTGGACGGGGTCATCTCTCTCCCACCATGTGGTGGCAGGGCTAATGGCTGACCAGGGAGGGGGGTTCGTGTGGGGGGGGAAATAATGCATGAAACCTGATTAAAACAGCAAAACCCAGAGGGGAATTTGACTTTATTCTTTATTATATCAGCTATAGATCTGCTTTAATGCCTCATATCATACCTTTAACATCAGTATTGGTAGTCATTCTAAGTGTTTTACCCTAAGCCGATTTTTCTCGTTGATGGAGGGGAATGAATCTTGGTATATGTTAGACCACAAAGGATGCACCAGACGGCTCCTTCAATGGCTGGGGAAAGATTCATTTGTGGGCCGCAATTAAAGAGCCCCCAAAATGGAACATCCTTCAACGTGAACAGATTATGTACAGCCCTCGAATTGGGACAAAGAGCAATATCAGAGTTCCCTGGTAGAACTAGGGATCATATCAGACATACATTCTGTGTATCAAGGGGATTTATGGCTGAGGTACAAATAGTGAGTGTGAGTAGGCATCTAGTGACAGTGATGATGTGCAGAAGGAGGAAGAGGAGTATTATTTCAGGATGATTATTAGATAAAATAACTTTTCCATAATGTAGAGAAATCTTTATATTGGACTCTGATATGAGCCGTATTGAGTATAAAGCAGATCCTCTTCGCTCAATGTGAACAACATCCTTTCTGCTGCATGCACACATCCACTCACCCCGACTTCATGCAGCCTTTTTACTAGGGGGGGCCGTCAAATCACTGTACTGGAGCATCCTATAAAGCTTGTCTTTCAACCACTAGCTGAATAGCTGATGTGGCACTGTGTAGGTGAAAGGCTTGGGATACTGCTGGGTTGATGAGCAGGTGGGAAGGTTTTGCAGCTGTGTGTAATTAGAAGGAATTCAGGAGCATGGAGCTTAAGAAAGGGGTTGCCATACCCGCGTGACAGACTGATCCTGCTGTTGTGTTGTGACAGGATTACCTCCAGCAGCGAAAATTCACCCGAAGGCTCACTATAAGAACAACAACTTGGGAAGTTTGAGAAAAACTTTGAGTTGATCAGAAATAAGGTGAGCCAAAGATAACTCTGGAAAGTCAACAGTTTTTCATGAATTCACATATCTGAGTAGTACAGCAATAGTTTAATTATTTATGCTCATTTATTTATTTCATGATTATTTGTATAAGGACAAATATGAAGCACATCAACAGTCGACTGCAGCATCTGTAGCCTAAGTTTAATTGCAATGTCCATCACTTGATGGCCTGAGTGACTGTAATGTGACTTAATATGACAGCAGTACTGATCGCTTTTCAAAATAACATTAACTGCATTAAATATAGTAAATACATCAGTACTGTAGGCTACTGCCCCCTGGTGGTGGAATGAACTTCCAAACTCCATTTGATCTGCAGAGTCCCTCTGCACCTTTAAGAAAAAGCTAAAGACCCAGCTCTTTCATGAATACCTACGACCTTAATGATGATGGTCTCCATATTATTGATGATGATGATGGTAATGATGATGGTTTTTGTTTGATAAACGACGACTTATAAGATGGTTTCTATACTGATTAGAGCTCTCAAGAACTGCCGTCAATGTTGTGCTTTGCCTCTGGTCACTTCCTGTCAGCACCTGTGTGTCCAATCAGACTCAAAGCTGATCGTTTGCTCTTACTGACATTGTTCTCTTTTTTCTAGTTCCTTGCTTGTGTTGTTCTTACTCTCTGATGTACGTCGCTTTGGATAAAAGCATCTGCTAAGTGAATTGTAGAAAACTTTAGCGAATATAAGACAACCCTGATTATAAGACGAACCCCCTTTCAAGGCAACTTTTAGGTCAAGTATTTTGTTCATTGTATTAAAAACTATTTTGCTTGAAAGTAATGATGACACAAACACATTGAATAATACAAGTTAGGTTGTTGTTTTTAACGCCTTTCAAGTAGAATCGTGTTTTTGATATATTTAGATGACATGTTCATATTCAATGACAGGAAAACATCATTCCATCATTTCCAATAGACTTCACAATGACAGTTTTCTCATGTTTCTTGTGCACAGTGACAGATGTTTGCAAATCAAAAAACACCAGTGTGATGTCAGTGTTGCCTCTCTGATCCAGGGGGGATCGAGTTCTCTCACTCTCCTGTCAGTCTCTTGGAATCGCCTGCTTTGAGGACCACGGTAAGATTCCAGAAAACCATCTGACATTACGGCTCTGTAGCACAATATTTCTTGGTTGTTTGACAGTTGTTTGAAGACTCTGCTGCATTGATGACAACTACCTTAAAATTGGCATCATAGCCATGTGCAGTACACTCGCTGCAGATAAGTTTTTTCTGTCTTTTGTTGTGAACATATACTGGAATTTAAAAGTCCAAATCCTGATCCATAGCACTGACATGCAACACAAACTTATGAAACCGCCCACCTGGCAAAAGGCTTATATCTGCAGCACACTGATGTTGTTTTGAGGAGATGGAAAATGAACAAGCCTGTGCTGCATGCTCCAATATGTTTAATGAAGCCACTACTATCATACACTCTTTTTTACCCCAAGCCTCTGCACTAGTCAAAAAAATGAAAGCTATAAATATAAGATCAGCCCACTTTTTGTCAAATATGTTTTAAGGGGAAAAAGCCTGTCTCGTATTTGGACCAATATGGTAATATTTCACAAAATTATTTATTTTTTATTAGAAGGCCTAAGAGGTTATCAGAATGCTTTAATGAATGTAGTCTTTGGTCCATAACATGTTGACTTCAAGGACACAAAGAGTAGCATCCTGGATTTAGAAAGTTTATATCCTGGTTTTATCCACATGTCATTTATCCTCTAACTCTAATCTCCGTTGTCAGTTTTGAATCAGCCCGAAGTAGCTGTTTGTTGATTCCCAAGCAAGCTCCGGTCATAAACTCTCCTTCAACATACTTAAATAATAATAAGGTAATGAGTGCTGTGTGCTTCAATCACCTGTAGAGCCTATTTCTTTTATTTTTGGTGCACTTTCGTTTGAGTATTTACAATCATTGTCTTTACATCAAGCTGTACGTGCTTGTCCTTCCCTCTTAGTCATTGAGATAATGGATAGAGGTGTAGGAACATCCTAGAGAGAAATTGGAAGATCAGCCTTTAACACTCCTGCTCTGCAAATAAAACAAACTTCCAAAGCGGTCTTTGAAAGGTGCTACTCATTAAAACCATTGACTGCGTTTCCATTTTTCTCAATTTATAATACTCACAGATGGTGATTAGTCTGATGGCAACAATCAGAGATGCTGCTTGTCAACAGGCAAGGCAAGCAACTGCTTGGGGCGCAATACCAGTAGGGGGCCCCTGAGTGCTCACAAACTTAAAAGCAGCAGCCCAAAATGTGCAAATTTGACAATGACAATAGGAAGCCTTCCTAAGGGGCCCAACATCTGACAGCACGCACTTTTGTTGCCCTGCCAATCGTCGCATGCATAATTGCTGTGAAAACCAGATGTGTGTCAATGAAAGTCAAGAAAAATGAAGAATTAGCTCTCTACAGGAGAGAAAAGGGAACAGGAAAAAAATTGAGGAGGAGTAAACGTCGGTTGGCAGACATGATGGGGAGGAACACTGGTTGGAGGACCCCCAATCGTTTTTTGCCTGGGGCCCCAACAACCTCTAGAATCACCTACAATCTGGCATATTTAGATATTTATGTCCATCAATGTGCACTGTCCCTATTTTAAATGAATAAAGTATACCTATTATTGAAAATACTTATATCATTAGCCATTGATTTTCTATATATTGAAAGAAATTGGTGTAATGCAACAGGATATACAAACACCAAAACAAGAGTGAAGATGGGGAAGACATTTATTAAACATTACTGTCATTTTTTTAGCCATTCAAACCTGTAGGAGACATTAAAGGCCTTAACAAGTTGAGGTCAAGGGATGTGTAGCATGAGCTAAACATGCAATGAAGTTGTCCCCCTGCATCAGTTGTCCAATCATTCATTTCAACCTTAGCTTAGAAATAATTAACCCGGCATAAGCAGGTATGTAAAGTTTGGGTTTGCTTCAAAAGCAGGGGGTCATCCTGTTGAAAAAGTGATGCTAGAAAATTTTAAAAATATTGCAAGATTGTGTCAGTTGTCTTACAAAAAGGGAACATTCATGAGCAGCACATCCACAGTGCATTATATACATTTTATATAATACATTTTCAAGTAACCAAAGCTCAGAGGATCATTCCCTGCCATCCATGAATTCAGAGTCAGAGTCAGAGTTAAAAGAGTCAGCTAGGATTTAACACATTTCCAATCTTTGCACAACTTAACTGTCTATTTTTTTGTAGAGCCAGGAGCAGCACTATGATGAGTGTACCATGGGGGCCACCTAGACTCAGCTTTTTAGGATGGTGTCATGTTGTCATAAGGAGCATAATGAAAAGCCCTGGGATTAGTTTTAAAATCAACAAACGGAGTCAGACAGAGACAACATCTTCAACCAACTCTCTTAATACAGCTGATCAAATCTCCCAGCAGCTGACGGTCAGCTGCTAGAATAAAGAAACCTGCTTTTTTACTTCCTCTTTCTGACATAAAGGACCGACTTGGAGGTTTAGGACAGAACGTTCTTGGGACTCTTTGAGAGACTGTGCACTGGAAAGCTAGACCAAGACCTACATACAACCCCATTCCCTAAAAAGCTGGGACGTCTTGTTATATGAAAGTAGAAACAGAATGTGATGATCTGCATCGAATGATGATGATTGAAACCCCAAACTGAATTGTAAAACAGCACGAGCCTACACATGAAACATGCTTTTGGCATAAAATTCAATTAGGCATTTATTTTGCCCACGTTTCAACATTTGCCATGGTGTGCTTTTGATGTTTTCAATCAGAAATGTGGTTTCAATGTGTTACAAATCTTAACACTCTCCTTTTATTTTCATTTTACGCCATGTCCCACGTTTGTAGAAAATTGGGTCTAAAGCAGCGGTACCCTATACCCCGACTTTAGACATGATTAACCCCAGCTGTCAATTTTTTTACTAATTCATGTAAGGTGCAACACACTTGTCATTTCCTCTTAACTCTTTAATACTGATTGTGTCTGAGCATACAGGTCTTCATTAAAGAAAAAAAGGTTAAATGTGGATGTTTTCTTGCTTATATCTAAATATGAGTCTCAAAAGTGTTCATCCGCCCCTCAGTAGTGCTGAAGGAAGTTGAAGCCTCCTTCACTTGGTGACTGATCCGCTCGTCAGGCTCTGTAATCTGCAGGTCACACACTGAGAATGGAGTCCTTCTTTCAGGCGTCGTCTCTCTTGTGTAAAAATCTTGTCGTGGCTTTGAAAGGCTTTTATTATCCGCCTGAAATTGAAATGGACACAATTTTCTTCAGTTTATAATTGGAATTAGACTAAGCGTCCTATCTGACACCAAGCAGAACTACACACAGCACATCAAAACTTCCACTGAAAGTTACCAACTGGAGCTGTCATTTTTACACCCAGCCAAAACATTGTGTTGGTAGAAAATGCACCTGTCGTCTTAACACTAATCCTGCTGTTGTGGAAGGGCGCATTAGAGGCACATTGCTGTCTTGAGTATCTTCCTGTTGCTTTTTTTTGTTATATTTATGGGCCAGTTTTGCATTTATTGGACAGGACAGCTAAAGAGAGAAAGGAAATGTTGGGAGGAGAGTGTGGGGCATGACATGCAGCAGAGGGCTGAGGTCAGATTCAAACCCACCACCACTGCGACAAGGACTATAGCCTCTGTACATGGGGTGTGCAACATACTGCTTGGCCCTTCCTGCTCTTAAATACATGCATGCTTTGATTTTTTATTGCAATGTATCGGATAAACATCAGTATCAGCTCCTCAGCCAATAATGTGTCTTGCACCAACATCAGTAGCCATGCGGTATCAGTGGTATCACATCGATTTTAGCTATTATACCTAACTGCTGATTCAGAGAAGAGTTGGACGAATTCTGATTTGTTTTCATGGTCAAATGTGAAAGATAATGTCGGCAGTGTGGGAGTCTCACACTCTCTCTGAGAAAGGGAAGCAAGCAACCTTAGCAGTCGGCTAATTTGTTAAATTAAACATTGGTATTGGTGCTGCTTTTCACAATGTCTCCATCTCTAAAACGTAGTGCCTCTCCTTCAGTGGAATACATTAATCTTTTGTTTGTGTTACATAGTCTGTAATGAGTCATGTTAGTGTTCGTTCACTTTAAGCTCTGTAAATGCCTTTTGAAGACATAACTATGAGCTGGCAATGTCTTGTGTTGATTTAGAAACTGTGCATTACATTCAGGTTTACAAAGTGCACATACAGTGGAACATGCAGCCCTCGCGCTGCCACCTCTTGATCAAAACGGGGGCATTTGCTCATACAGAGTGAAATTGATTTGCAGATAGAACAGATGGGCTGTTATGTCGCTGTCTCCTGACATCATTGTAAGTCTCTTTCCATTGTGTGCGGAGATTTAAATAAACAAAAAAAATCGAAGCTGCTTTGCCTCATGCATGAATGCGCACAATGTTTGTGTCAGTGTGTCGACACATTTTTGCGGTGAAGAGTCTGCTGTAGTGGATATAATTGCAATCCACACAGCCCATTATTTCATTCAGTGGCCTGTGTGTGTTCTGTATGTAGGGAATACTAACGATCAAGGAGAAGAATTAAGCTGAGCCTGAGCGGAGTACAATACATACAGACACATCTGGCTTTGAAAAAGGAATAGGAGATGACGCTCTGATTGGTTTGATTGTTTGGTGCGTAACGAAAACCCATGATGACAAAAGAGACTTCATGCAGCCCTCTTGAGCCTTGCAACTTCCTCTGCACCCAGATCATGATTTGCTTAAAGGGGTTGGACATGCTCTAATTTCTGAAGTAATTCAAACGACCCCGGGCTGCGCCAACATGCTGCGCACAAAGTGGTTGATAATAACGCTCTAGAGATAAATAGAAAGAAAACTGAGGAAATTGTATTTGTACCATTTAATGCCCACATAGCCCCTATTTTTATTCACAATGAAAAATCAAGTACCATCTTTATGTTTCATTTGCCTCTTGGGGCAAGCAAACAAATTCTTGTTTTTGTATTTTTTTACTCCTGTGACTCTGAGGGTCCTACCGTATATTATAACATCCCATATGTCTGTCTGCTCCTTTAAACTCCAAACTACTCCACCGATTAAAAATCTTCTCAAAGATTGTAAGCATACCACTCCAATGACTCAACGAGTGAACATGTTAAGGTCAGCTAACTCTAAGCATGCTCTGAACAGTGAATTTGAACTGTTATCATTGAACCTGAGATACAGGATCCCACGTTTGACTTTGGTCAGAATGAAGCACTCTTTTGTACTCCAATCCTTAAAATGAAATGAGGAAATATTCACTCTGTCATTCTGGTCTTTTCTGATGTTATTGGAATAATTCAGCGAAAATGTAACTTCAATCAGCTATCAACATAGTTCATACAGGGTCCTGTGTGTTTTGTGTAATCAGGGGAACAACAAAGTTAAATGAGCTGGCCGGAGTTCTGTCTATTTAGAGTAATAACAACATAAATGTATTTATAATGCACTTTACATTTGAAGCTAATCTCAACGTGCTACAGTTAAAACAGGAGCATAAAACACAATTTAGCGAAAAGCAAACAATATGAGCAGACAGAGTTAAAAACATGAGCAGAAGAACATCAGCTAAGAGCAGCGGTGATAAAGAAAATGCTCATTTAAAGAGAGAACTATTAGAAAGTTATTTTTCAAAGGGGGTCAGCAGTCTGTGAAGCCCTCAGGTGGTCAGGGGGAGCTCTCCACAATCGTGGGGCGGAAGAGTAAAAGGCTCTGTCTCAACTAGAACAGAACAGAGCAGGTTGGTGAGGGCTAGTTGGAGCACATCAGAGGTTTCTTGTGAGGGTTCGTGAAGTGAGCAGTTCTTTGATGGAGCATTGTATGCACTGATGGGTTAGTAATGAGTCTTTGAATTCAATCCTGAGTGAAACAGGAAGCCAGTGCTAGAGAAGCTGGAGAAAGCACTCCCCAAAGATCACAAGAACTTGCGGAGTAAGTGTAGGATCATACTTGTGCAGTGCCTTCTCAGACACATAGTGGTTCACAGATTTATATTTAAATCAGATATGACATCTATAATGTATTTAACATTTTGCTGCACCTCTGGCTATTCGCTTTTTAAATGTTGAGCAGTGCGAGCTTTCAGGTGATTTCTTTTGTTGTATATTTGATTAGTTTTTTTCTTTTTGGATTTACTTTAAAGTTTAGAGAGGCTGCTTTTAGTAACTATAGGTTAAACATTCTCATCCACACATAACAATATCACTGCAGCAAATAGTGAGGAAAATTTAAGCAGAAAAACAAAAAACAGTTACTTTAAAAGGACGGAAAATCTCCAGAAGAAACTGAATTAAGGCTCCAGGCCCATTTGTGCATGGACAGAGCTACAAAATACAAGTAGTCCAAGTTATTAAATCCGTATGCTGTTATGGGCCAGATAGGCTCGTTTCCTAGGTCCCATGTAGACCGTTTGGTAGGAGGTTTCTGCATCCCGTTCACGCTGGTTTCTTCACCAGATTATTAAGTGAAGGCCAGTGACTCTTAACTAAAAGAGATGGATTACATAACATATTTTTAAGTTTTAATATGACACTTGTGATCAAAGGCTGTGACTCAGCCCGCTCAGACAAGTGATTTGAGATTAATTGGTTGCAATGAGTTTCTGGAACTGTCATAAAATTACACGAGACATTTTTTGCAAGAGAAGGTTGGGGTTTGCAGGTGCATTAAAGTTAAATCAATTTGACAAATGTCAACAGGCAGCATAATAAAAAGGCTCTACAGGAACATTAAAACCAATAAAATGTTGAATAAATATGAAACAATGTGAAGCTAAATTGAGGCGAGATATACTGGAACAATTTACAACTTCAGAGAAAGAAGAGACCAGAGATACTGGAACAACATATACTGGAACTTTACAGGAAGAAGAGACCTCAGATACTAGAACAATGTATAACTTCAAAAGAATAAATCAAACAATGACTGCTAAAACCAACAATAGAGGGAGTGTGTGGGCTGTCACATTATGCAGATGACATGTTGCTCTAAATATCAGCTGCCTCTGATCAGCTCCTGGACTTTATGAAGTAAAGTTCTTCATAGCCAATAGATTTATAGGTTTATGTTTGAAACACATGCCGTCTCCTAAAGTCTTTGAACCAAAGTAAAAAATATCTTTTGATCCTCAAGATTCTGGCCTGAATGTCAATACCAGAAGAGTTATGTTATCATTTACAGAAAAGACGTGTCAGAATTACAAATATTGCACAAACCATGTGCTATTTAGTTAGAGCTACAGCATAAAACATAAATATGACTCTCATATGGATTTCACAATCCATATATTGCTGGGTGGTGTAGATTGAATGCAGAGGAAATGTAATGAGAGCCGAGCGAGATCAATATTCCTGTCTTGAAACGTTTGAAGGAAATATACAACTTTTAGAGTTTAAAGGTTCGTTTAGCATTTCTTCTGTGTATTAATTGAAGAGTGAAAAGTCTAAACAAGAGATTCATTTTATGGTCATTATTTCACTTTGCCTTACTTTCTATCTTAAAGAGGACATTACCAGATGTTACATTAGGTCACAATACATTTTACAAGCACTCACATCATCTTAAACACAAAAAAAACACAAATTCTGGAAATGCCATCTTCAGAGAAATCAGCCTGTAAACAGCAGAGTGAGTGTGTGGACTGTCAGATTATTAATTAGTTGTTATTAGGGGCTTGTGAAAAAAAGTTACATAAACATTTTCAGAAGAGGTGTGTCAGAATTACAACTAATGCTAAGATATGTGTATTTATAGAGTTATTTAATGGTAGATATTTTAATTATACAGAATGACTCCCAGATTTATTCACAGTCAATATGTTGATGGTGGTGAAGGTCAAGTAGATGGTATGGTAGGATAAAGGGAAGGCAATTTCCTGCTTAAAGAGCCCATATTATGCCCTTTTTGGGGTTCGTATATTAAATCTATGTACCTACTTTTGTACGTTCACAATAGCTAAAGTCCGAAAAAAGTGTCTGTTTTCATGTACTGCTCCTCCTTGCTCCCTCTCGCTCTGAGTCCGTCAGCTATGCTCTGCTGAGCCCAAACTGCAGAGCCCCACGTGGGCCAAGTCTGCTCTGATTGGTCTGCCGATCCGCTCTGTCGTTATTGATCAGTCGCTCAGCACGGTTCTCGGAAATGTCCCGCCTCTTTTACCATATTGGGAATGCAGCCACTGGCTCCGTCCGAGGGGAGCATAAACATTAGCACCTTAGCACTACTGTGTTACCGCAGGCTACGGCATATCGTGGGCGTGCTACAGAAGTTAATGGCCGTGCAACATGAGCTGCTGGGCTTGCACAACGAGCCAATGGGCTTAGATCAGCGATCTCACACTGACAATGACGTCGGACTGACAAATTTTTATCGAGGGGGGCTAGAACCGAGCGTTACATGCGGCTAATGCTACAGCTAACAGGAGGACGTAGGAGAAGCTGCGTTTCCGCAGACTTTGAATTTTTGCACATAGATGTGCCTAAACATGCACAGGATACATGGAAAACACACGAAAGAGCATATAAAAGCAGAAAAAGCAGAATATGGGACCTTTAAATTAGAGGTTACTCATAGAAAAGCTGTCTTAGGTTGTCATTAATTAAAGCACCACACTTGTCCATGACACTACTTATTAATATTCTTAATTAACTAATTAAATTGTGCTCATGAGCTATGGATCTATATGTTTATAATAACATATTTGACAGGGTCCTAGAAAAACAATTACATCACTTGGACAAAACTCCTGAAAACATCCTGAAGTTTTCTGGGTGAGCTGCACAAGTGAACCCAAACAGCAGAATTTCTCACTTTCTATGGAGTTTTGGTGACGTTTACTCCCTGTAATCGGTGCATGAACTTAGATTGTATACACTAAACCGTTGCAATATCTGTGCATGTACTGCTGCTTTATGTTTTCTGTTCTCCAGTACTTTGTTTCCGCTCTTTTGTTGAAATTGTGAAAAATCAACTCTTAAATCTCCATTAAAAGACAGAAATCAAATCAAACAGAAATCACTTAACAGCCTAATGTAAGAAGGTGTAATAAAGTCAAATAAAATATCAATTCAGACTGGTCATACGATTGAATATTGACATCCTTAACCTGGATTTAAGCATGTAAAAAGCTAAAATCTGATTGGGGCATCAGCTTAGCTTGGTGGTAAAATCGCCGGTCCGATCTCTTTTTGTTGGTCCCAGCTTCAGCCATTTGTCACATGTCACCCCACATTCCCTGATCCCTGTTTCCGACTCTATCCACTATCCCGTCATCTCAATAAAGGCATTGACAGCCTTAAAAAACTACCTTATAGTAGCATCAAAACAGCCTACCATAACATAACATAACATTGCCTTGTCTTACCTTTTGTATAAATCAAAATAGATAGATAGATTTACTTTATTGATCCCAAACTGGGAAATTGAGGAAATGAACCCCATCATGCTGCTTCCATCAGGATTCAATGATGCACTTTCATTTTGTTATATCTCAAAATACTCATGCAATTATACACTGAAATTATCCTCACTGCAAAACACAGCCACGTTTATCTTAGCATCAGAGTGTTTGTATTGACAAAACAGTGTCAATGGAATGCTAATAGCATCACCTTGAATTTAATTAAAATAATGTGATAATAATTCCCTGTGAAGACTGACTGCAACGTATCAAAGCCGGGAGTTTCAGTACAGGCAGGATAACACAGGCGCAGTCGACTTTGAAAAGATACAGAGCAGATTGCATCACTCACTGAATATGAATGTCACAGCTCGACACGCTGCATAATGATAGCTTCTACATCAAAACAAACCATTAAGAAAGCTTAATATGACACCAAATAAGCCTTGAAAAAAGCTTCCAATTGTTGCCCACAGAAATGTTGTCATTCTTAGTGTTTTCTGGAGGTATAAATGGCGGCCTTTTCAGGGAGAAAACTGCGATTTAGGCGTCAAATATGTCAAGAGCGCTGATGAGTTAAAAACCTCGGCTGTTGAAGACTGATGAAGGCGTGCACTCACTGGTGCTGTAAGTGTTCGAGTGCTCACAGTCTCATTAATGTCTATGAAATCATTCTCAGGGACTGCCGGTCGTATTAACCTTGCCATTTAATGAGTCACACACTCAACAAATGGACAAGAAAAAGGCAATAATTGTGCACACAGCGCGACACTATGCAGAGAGCCTATTCCTGTGGATTCTTTACACTGAAGTGACCTCACACAGCGTTCATAGTTATTTTATAACCCAGTGCTGATGAGATGAGGAGTGAAGGACATGAAATTAAACAAGTGATGGAACTACATGTTGAGGTAACATATCAATCTGTCACATAGACTGTATGAAGATATTATTTACAGTCTATGGTAGATCAACTGTATTTAAGCATGTTGTTGTAGTGAAATGATTACATTCATTTGAAAGATTCAATTAACTGATTTGTTAAATACAGAAGTTTTTTCTAAGTAGCTTTGTTTGAACAAAATGTATTCCTCCCTTAGGAAGCTCCGCTGTAGTTCACCTCCTTGCAGTGAGAACGTAATTAGCAGTTTCAAAGCTGCCAAGGTCATTTTGACAACACTGTTAATGATAGCACTTCTAATTCTCAGTTGTTTGCAAATCCTCTGTCGACATTTGTTTAAAGGAGCTGGAAAGTAACTGGTGTAATTAAGTAAGTTAAGGTTCAATCAATTTTAGCAAAGTAGAAGGAATCTCTTTCGCTTCAGCCGCTCCACAAATGGAGGTCGGTGCTCTCAGAGAAGGACCTAAGAACGTTAGTCCTCTGCATCATATTAAATTGGCCTTAAGTGATTAATTTGTTCTTATGATTTCTTTAGATTGTGCCTGAGAGAAGGAGTCTACTGAATTATATTTTGAAAATTCATGAAATGCAGATTTGGAACGTCAACCTTTGTCTTAACACAGTAGTGAGAAAAACAAAAGTGTGTACCAGAAGCTGCAGGAAGCACTCTGTGGATGTTACCTTGCAGCACCCAATTTATTTTAATACAGTCAGATCACCTTTCCTTAGACCACATTAGCATCATTGAACAGCTCTCACAGTTGTGGTTGAATGAAGTTTTGGCTGATGAACTGCCGCATAATCATCTATTCTTCTGATGACTCTGAAACCTGTTACTGAGACTCTCTGAGGCAGCAAAGTGAACTCTTTTTTTCTGATTGTTCACACCAAGTGTCTGCAGAAACTATGTCCAAAAACTAAAACTGCTTTCTTTGGAGTGTCAATTCAAAGTTTTGGGATCAATCAATATCTGTAATAAAACATTGAAAGAAACTTCAGGCTATATCTCTATGAACAAATATTCCCCTGGACACACTGCTATCTGGTCTTTCAGAAATATGGCACGCTAAACAAAATACACTTTCTCTACATTTTTTAAGATACACTTGTTTGACAGGACAAGGCCCAGAAACACACCAGAAGTTCAGCAGCTTGTGAAGTGAAATAAATCTTCTCTCAGAGGATATTAAGAGGCTTCTTACGAGACGGGCAGTGTGATGAAAAATCAATCCAGAGGAGCTGAGGAGGTGAAAAGCTCTCAGCGGAGAAGTGCGCAACTTCTTTAGAATTACTTTTGACAAAAAACGATTTATTTTTGATACAGTGATGTAAAGAGCTGCACTCAATCGCTGTAGTTATGATGTAGACTTAAATTGATTTAATTTCCATGAAATCCGGATTATTTTACTCTAAATTATCAACAAGCTTTCAAGGTCACATCATTTCCTCCTTTCCAACAAGTTTAAATAAGTGTCAGAGGTCACAAAAACATGTCTGTGAAGTTTCTTGTTCTAAATCACTCTGACCTGTATTTGATCATACCTATTAACCACTCTATTTCAGCCCTGCTCAGAACAGGCTGTTTCTGTGTCTGTACCTTTAACTGTAAATGAGCTGTGTCAGACCACGCCCCCTCTTGAAGGGCTTGGGTGTCTCGGCTTTCTCGCTCCATGTCCTATTGTTTACGGTGAGAAGGCAGACTCAGAGGGCAGAACAAACACCTAGCTGTGGGAGTGTCACCCACCTGGGGGGAGGGGTTACTGCCCTTTGTGATGTAATGAAGGGAAAATCTCCAAACGGCCTGTTTGAGCACACATTACTGAAAAGTGGAGCAGGGAAAAGATGGAGAGGATGGACTTTTCTCACAATTTGGGAATTTGTAGACAGACAAGAGACACATATAAATGAAAACCCTTTTTTTAACAATCTAAAGCTCTCAGTCGAAAGCACACGGTGCCAAATAATTAAAGGCGGTTTGTTCTGGGCATGATATAAATCAAACCAGTCAGTGTCAGGCTCTTTTGGCTTGCTCCGTATCTCCTCTCCTTCCAGTTTCTCCCTGAACACACACACAGGCCACTTTAAGTATTTTGATTGGAGACTGAAGTGTTATTTACTGAAGCTGCAATATCCGAAACATTCAGTGCTTTTCCAATTATTATTTAAATCTCCAGGTGCCGACAGTATCGGACAGGATCTTACGCCTAGAAAACAGACCCAATGGGGTAGGGCAGGCGCCATTGGACAGAGCAAACCTTGCTGGAGACTGCACATTGCACGCACGCACAGATCCTGTGGCAACTGCTAATTAGCATGCATGATAGAGAGCTTGGTGTCAGAATTGAGCTGGAGTTTTTTTTGTCTGTGCAGGGCACGAGAAGGACTCTCCCTAGGGTGCAGCTAAGAGGTAGCTGTGACTGTTTCCTCTTCTTCTGCCATTAGATCAGCCTAATGCTGATAGGAAATAAAGCCATCAGGAGGCAGGGAAAACAAAATCTCAACGTCTCACAGCCCACTGTTCTGTTAAAAAAAAATCTATATCAACATGTCATCAAATACACTGATATTTAATTCAGCAGTAGGATTCCTGCTGTGTGTAATGAGCTGAGTGGAAGTGTGTTGTGAATTTAATCAGTAAATGCTCACTTTCTGTTTCCTCAAGATACATGTTTACTTCAAGCCAATGAAAGAATCCAGAAAGACACATTTTTTTAGGTACAGATTCAGGCTCCATGATTTGAATGAATGCCACACACAAACCTTTCTGTAGTCAGATGCTGTCTGCTTGTGGTCATATTGCCTGAAGGGATTGGGACGAAATTCTTCCTCGTCCTCCACTCTCAGTCTTGGAATGGCCGTCATCGGGCGAATAACCCCGGGCTTCGTCTGACAGTTTGATGACAGAGAAAAAACAAATTATCCCAAGTCTTCGTGCTGAACTTCATATCACTGTGCAGACTCTCTCATACTCCTTGTGTGTGTGTGGTTGATATGGATAAAGGTCCATTCATCCAACCAGCCAACAATCCACCCACCCACACTTTACTTTATCAGTGAGGCAGTAGTAGCCTTGACCCTACTATAACTGAGTTTTTACCTTTTTAGTATCCATGAGCTTTCTGTCCACACCTGTAGATTGGTTCAGGCTGGATAAAGATGCCTGGGGGAAAAACACAATATCAAACATAAACAGAACCATTAGGGTCTGAAATACTGATGAAATAAGTTAAGTTGTTTCATGTAAAAACTCTTGTAAACATGGAGAACATGATTTCAATATTGCAAGTGTTGCTGTATGCAGGAAAGGAGTCTGTGTGGACGGCAGAAGGGAGAGATAGTGAACCAAACATAAGTCATCTAACAATTCTTTCATTTCTATAAAAATATATCTACATTCATACAAGTGCAGACTGATTTCCTGCATAAAGTAACTAGCTCTTGGACAGAAGTATAAGAACTGTTAAAGTCAACATGTTTGGAAAAGTATAAGAATTTCTACATCACTGTCATTCTGTGCAAAATCCCACACGGAAAATAAATAAATAAATATTGTTTTTTAACATATTTGGCTGATGACGGTCGAACCTGTTTGTTTTGTTTTTTGCAGTTTTCACCCTTTAAAGAGTAAGTCTTTATTTTTTGAGACCGCATCAACCATAAGGAGAAACCTTTGAAAGAACAAACCTCCCTTTGGAAACTCTTAAACTTCACCATGCGAGTCTTTGCAAATGATGAAATGTTGCTTTTTAACTGAATCTAGAACTCAAAGTAAATCAGAGTGAATAAACAAACAGTCAGTTTGTTTGTTTGTTTGTCTCTTTGGCCCTGCAGGGTGAGAAACCTTCAGATAAACATTAGCCATTTCATTCAGCAGAACTTTTACTCACATATTTGGTTTCACGTCCCAAGGACTTCAGAGATGATGAATTGTTCTGCCGGAAGAAAAGAAAAGAAACAAAACAGAAATGATTGGACACAAGCTTAAAGCGAGGTCAAATACGTCAATGATGAAAGCACTCGTCTGCTATTTTGAAAATGTGTGACAAAAATGACTGAAAAGAAGAAAGAGCCTTGGTGGATTTGATTCAGTTATTGAAAACATCCAATCACCTTTCTTTGGGCACCTTTAGCACCCAGTTGTTCATGTCCATAAAAAAAAGCCTTAAAAAGTGTTTGCAATTTACACATTTCATCCCTTTGCTCTTGCCTCCGGGGTCCAGACAAGAATCTTATTTTATAATACACATCACACTGACAGCAGTGCACACATACTCCTTTATACACACACACAACACACACACACACACACACACACACACACACACACACACACACGCGCGCACACACTCACACACACACTGGTTTTCCGATGGAGACCAGGGGTCCTTTGATGAATAATGAACGCATGTATTTTCATTTCTTGTGCCGTTGATTAAACAGACAGAATTCACTTTTATCTCACTTCCTGTTTGTGTTGCAGTAAACAGAGAGAGCTAGATGTTTCATGGGCCTGAAGGTTCACACTGCTTTGCATTTTTATTCTTTTTACTTGCTTGTTTATTTTTGTTTTAACACGTGTGGAGTTTAAAGACACGGCCCCTGGTACAACTGATTACATCTTTGGTCATCTGATATTCACTGAAGCTGTACATTAACACACTAAAGAAACACCAGATGATGAAATGTTGTCCCTATGTCTGTAAAAGCCCTCTTTGTGTTATTTCTACATGTTCAGCCGTCAGATATCAGATTCACCATGACATGAAGCAACACTTAACATCATGCAGATCACACAATTCACCATAAAATCTAAGAAAACTGAAGGTATCCAATTTTTAGACAGGTTCTGACCAGAATAAATGTAATTATATGTATTTTCTTTAACTATTTAAGTGTTTTTAAACTGGTTTTAGACCTGAATAAGAGCACAAATGTTTCTCTAAGATGTATGATAAGAGCTTAATGTAAGGCGAGTGATCCTTTGCTTTGTGAGATTGTCTTTTTTTGGTGATTTGATCAAATATGAGCTGGTCAAACTTTTTTTTTTGAAGGATACTAAAAAATCTTTATTAGAAATAAATCTATTCCTGGTCATTGTACAGGTTAATCTAAAATGTCACTACTACATGATTACATTTTTTAATGTTTGAACAGAACACTTTGTCCTAAGTAAAATGATTGAAGAGAATCTCATCTCCATCCAACCTCGGGTGAAAAAATGAAGCCATTGAGGAAGTGTAAATGGACCTCACCGTGCCCTTTGCCCGCCTCAGCACCATGGGGGGCAGAGCTTTCAGCTGCTCTGGAACTCTCTGCCACCGGACATTCGCAATATTGACTCTCTCCCCATCTTCAAATCCAGACTCAAAACCCATCTGTTCAAGATCGCCGACTCACTCTAACATTTTAACTGCAATTACACTGTCCAAAATTCCATTTCTTTATTGTATGCTGTTTTTGTTATCCATCGCTGTTTTTAAAAATGTTGATTGTTGTACAGTGTCCTTGTGTGTCCTGAAAGGCGCTTATAGATAAAATGTATTATTATTATTATTATTATTAAATAGCTGCAGTTCCTCGAAGGTCCACTTGAGGCTGGCTGGACACTGAGACCCTTTTCCCCTTCTATACCCACAAAAAAGTGATTAAATCTTTTGCTTTGTTAGCTCATTAGATAGGTACAGAGCCCCTAAAGTCACATAAAAGAAAAGAAAATGTCACTTGTGCACACAAATTACTCATGGGAATAAGATCTTGTGTGCCCAAGATAATATTTTGTACACACAAGTTAATAAACTTTTGCCCACAACACATGTCTTATATCTTTACATCAGTCCTGTCAACGACCTTAAAAAGATCCAAACTTCACCTGCAGTCCAGTGTTGGTGCTTGTTGGCCTGGAGGGCTGTGGTGACTGGGAGCCTTTGCTCTTATAAGATGCAAACAAAAAAACAAGTATTAAAATTACAAATCAACATTTGTACTTAGCAAATTGTGTGTTTTGATTATTTCACTCACTGGCGGAATGGAATCAGCCAAAACCTCATCAATAACGGCGTAAAGTTCCTCTGACTCCTGCCGGAGCTGGGAGGGCGAACGCATCTAAAAGAATGACAAAATTATTGATGTGAGCTCTTTGTCTTCTGAAACATCTGCAGGGACAACCAGCGGAGGTGTGTGCATGTGATACCTCAGCGTGTGTGTCTGCAACACCTCCGTCCAAGGTGTCGTATGGACTCTCTCCTCGCTCTACCTGCTCGTCTATGGTCTGCGGAAGCAAAGCAGAGGAGACACATGAAGCTCAGAGGAAAAAGCGTCGCTTACATATTCAAGCAGTTTGTGCTCTTTACAAGCAGCTCTCTCTTCTGCAGCTTGAAAAGTACCAGAGACTCAGCATGAATATCGACATGTTTTTCATGTCCATGCCTGCCTCCAGGCTCTTTCATTTGGTTTATCTATCCCCTTTTAATGAAAATAGTTTCCCTTGTTTTTTTAAGCGTGACCAGTTTTTACAATTACCATTAAAGACTTTCTACACGGTGTCTTAAAGGCCTGATAAGTGGTCACATGTGGTTAATCTTTTTCTACAAAGAATACATGCTATCTGTAAAGCTTCAGTCTTAATTCCAACTTTCATTGCTTACATAATGCTGAACATTGCAACATTTGCAGGATACACTCATAAGGACTTCATGTGAGGAATTAGTGGGATTAGATACAAACGAGTGAACTCACCTGCTGATCCAACAGGAGGGTGTTTGTCGGAATAGCAGCAAGCGATTTGTAACTCAGTTTGATCTTGTGTGTCTGGAGTTAAAGGATGAAGAAGAGCAGAAAAACCACAAGTTTGATTTCATAATCCTGCATTTTATTAAGAGATTTTTCTTTGAAGTCTTTTAGAAATGTATTATATGTGTTTTGCATTTCTCTAGGCATGCTTTATCTGCAACTGCCACTGGCTGCTAATCATGCAAAATAGTCACACTCCAGACCCCTGCGAGACGCCCGAGAGCAATAATGACGTGTCTGTCTGCTTCAACAGCTCAGGAGACTTTCACATTGTTGCTGCTGAGACGGCTTATTTGACTGGCTGTAAATGTCGAAAAGTTTAGTTACAAACAAAAAGGTTTCACAGAAGTGGAGGTAACCTCTTGGTTTCCAAAGTGAAGCCAATGTGGCTTAAACATGCATCTAACGGCCAGCAGGAGGCGACTAAACTGATTGTAAAAAGTGGTACTTCTTTTTTCCTAAGACTATTTTTCTGTGACTGAGTGTGGTGTGTATTTAGTAAACTATGTTCCCATTTTAACAGGGGCGTATCTAGACTTTTAGGACTGGGGTGGCCCGACTTGCGACATGAATTGAGTGTACGCCCGCATGTATCAGAATAGTATTTAGGGTCCCTTTCTGTCTCCACTAATCAAATTTACCTTAACTACTCCCCTTAAAGTGTCATACAGCTGGTACATTAAAAGGAGCCTATCACCAAATTGCGGTGATATATTAGTCTTAAAGCATCATTTATTGAGGATTTAAAAATGTGTTGTGTGTCCTATTTCACATTTTGAAGTACAGACAAAGGGAACATTGAAATGCTTAGGAAGCGAGCGCCTAGCGGCCTGTTGCGACTTGTGATTCACCCAAAACTGTTTATTTTTAGCACACAGACAAATAAGTTACGACTCTGAAAAGATAAACTTCTGGTTAAAGATTTTGAAATGACACCAAAGGATGGTGATTCAGGTTTCGGGTTTGGGGGGGGGCACCCCTGGCCAACCCCTGGCTGATGGCCACGCCCCCATGTAATAAGGCTGTAGTCCTCAAAGTGGCTACCAGGGTTAAAGTCCCATGTCCCGTCTGTCATTCCCCATTCTCTCTACTGATTTCCGACTTTATCCACTGTCCATATCTCAAATTGTCAAAAGCTCAAAAGTGAAATGAAATTGAAAAATGTAGTCTTGTTCAATCATTGAGTGCATAACTGAACCTGCTTTTCAGAAGGGTGGACATTATTGTGGTATAAGTTGTTGTTTTTGATTGATCTTATAATATTCCAATTTGTTTGAGACACTGTATCTTTGATTTTCATGAGCTCTGAACTGTAATCAACAAGAATAAAACAAGGGCTGCCTTTCATTGCCAAGTCGCTATACCACAGCAACCAGTCAACAGGTAAATGGATGTAACATTGTGTATCCTCCCTGTCATCCGAATATGGTCATGCTGGATAAAAAAAAACAACAAGATGGTTACCACCAAAACACAAAACTTAAGGCTTCCACTTTGTCAATCTCAAACAAATAGCCGAACTCATCATCCACTTCCTTTTCAGCCTCATTTACGTCAACTCTTCACTCTAACAGGCATGAAAACTAGAAGACCCTGATGTCCAACAACCTATATTTCATTGCATGCACAAAATTGATTGAATTCCCCTGAGTTCATGTAAAGATTTCATGCAGTGTTACATCACTTCAAGCTGTAATATCTGCTCGTCAAGATAGAATTTTAACAAGCTGCATGGATTTTTAAGCCAAGGATGACTCACTCTTGCTACCACATATGACTTCTCAGATATGTCAATCGTCGACTGTGAGCAAGATGCAGAAAGAGGGTAAGAAGTCTCTATGAAGAGATCTATGACACTGGATGTGTCAAAGGAAAAGATAATCATATCTAATATTAGATATGATATCTAAAAGTGACTCCCCACCTGTTATCCTGCCAGCTAGAGATGGGAAATCTGTTTATAACTTCAAAGCGTGAGAACACATTAAATAACATCCTTAAACAAGTCATGCATACGGCAGGCAGAGCGGCTACCTTTCTTTTTTTACCATCCCTGTCACTGCAGTCTGATATTCCACTCCCCGGCCTCGGGGAGGGTGTGGAGCGCAGGGAGAGAGGGGGAGACGGGGAGAGGCTTTTGACCGGCGGAGCAGGAGAGGGCGTAGGCGTGCGAGAGCAGGCAGGTGATGGCCATCCGCTGAAAATGATGGGTGTGTAGCGCGAAGGTGACAGGAGACAGGAGTGAGATGTGTCTGATTTGGCACTTTTGGAATTAGAGCAGCTCCTCTCTGGCTCACACCTTCTCGCGGTGTTTTCTGAAGGGTGGTAGGGCGATGCAATGTCGGCGCCGGTGACGCCGGGTGAGTGTGAGCGGGAAGGCTGAAGCGGCGGTGGAGAAAGGCAGACAGGTGGAGATTTCAGACAGTGAAGCCTCGAGAGAGATGAACTGTGTGGTGAAGGAGTCCATTTCTGGGGAACGGCGCTCTCTTGGATCTTAATTAGTTTAGGGGACAAGGAGATGAGTTTTTTAAGGTTATTATCCTTGTTGCCCTGGCCGTACATGTGGTTGTTGTCTAGCTTCGGCTCGGGGGAAATCGAGATGTGTGTGTGTTGCAGTTTTCTGTTAGCTGCAGAGTCAATTTCTTCACCCCGCGGTGGAGAAACAGATTTAAAATTTGAGCAAAATGCAGGCAGCGGAGCTCGTGGAAGTGTGCTGCTCTTCTCTGCCAGGGGTGAAATAACCTGCTCCCATGTAGGCACACTCTTTAAGTGATTTTTTTCTGAGCACGTCTTCGCTTGAGTCTGAGAGTTTGATATTGTGCTGAGCTCGGGTGGAGGAGAAGTGATGCATCTATTAAGCTCCCTGTGACTCTGACTATCTATGGACGCAGACGAGGAGAAGCGGGAGGAGAACTCCAGGGGGATTGAGGCCACGCTGGAGGCTGCTGAGCAGGCGTTGCAGAAGGACAGGGTCACAGGGTTAACAGGCCAGCAGGGGGTGTAAGGCCTCTGCAGGGTCGAGGACAGGACAGGAAGTCGGCCTTTTCTCAGGATGGCAGTGAGGAGGGAGAGCCGGGTGAGAGGAGGCCGGTGCCGGGGAACAGGAGGAGGGGACTGGGGACAGGCGGAGGAGGAGGACAGGCTCTCGCAGGAAGAGAAAGGGGTTTGAAGCAGACTAGAGCCAGGGGCGAGAAAGTGCCTCTTTATCTGGACGACAGCGGGAGAGAAGACGCCCGAGAGGACGGAGGAGCAGGGGGAGACAGTACGGCTGAAGGAGGACGGAGACATCGCAGAGGAGAGCCGCACAGCCGACCAGCTCTTGTCTCTGTCCGAGCCCTCCGAGAGGATAGACTCTCTGGAGGAGGCCAGGGTGGGGAACAGGTCTGCAGAGTTTGTGGGGCTAGTTCTGTCCTCTGAAACTCTATTTACAAAGCCACCCGAGCTAACCTCAGAGAGTCCAGAGTTATCACGGCACTGCCACTGGGAAACGCCCCCGTGTTTATAAACAGCTGTTGCCATAGAGGCAGTCCCGGGGGCTTCGTGGTGGGTTGTATTTTCAGACTCAGTAGAGGCTGAAGGGGACTGAAGATCCCGTGACAGATTTAACTGAAAAACAAAAACAAGGTCTTCATTCAAAAGTTAGACTAGTTTTTAATTGGGGCTTAGTCGGACTTTCACTTCAGATTCTCAAAAGTCAAACCTGCAAATTACTATTTTATCGAGTTTCTGTCAAATTAATTTAATTTGTGTGAGACTAGAAAAGGACTTTGATGGAAAAACTGTCCAGCACTGGGTGAGAAAGCTGGAAAAACTAACTAAACCAATTACGGAGTCAAAACCAACTTTTTCATTTTTAGTTTTACTTTTTTTACATTCTAATTTGACTGTCAGATTCGATAAGCAATGAATGTTGTCCACACTGGAGAGTCACTCCAGTTTCTAATTAAATCCCTAGAATGTATTTGATTCCTGAAACTCATCATTCACTAATGGGAGAAAAAAAATGGACCCCTTATCTCACGTAATTAGAGAAAAGGATGTTCATAAGAACACAATCTTTTCTGGCATTTATAAGATAAGCAGCTTATAATTACAAGATCCTGCACCAGCATGGGTACATCTTGAATGCATGTAGACATGAAAAGAAGGCAGACAGAGTGTGCTGCAGCATCGCCCCCCAATCACTCACATTAGGGCCATTAGGTGAATGCCTTTCACTGGTTGGGTATATTAACCAAGATGTGTGATAGTTTTTTGTTTGTTTTCTATAGCTTAATTTAATAATCCTTCATCCAGTGATAACCTCTGTTTTCCATTTGTACGCACATGTTGACTTGTTACAGAGAGCTTTTCAACTGAATCAAAGTTATCCAAGATGTCTGATCATCCTGTCAGACATAACAAGATGTTTCCTTAGAATATGGAGTTTTCATTTCATTTTTTATTTATTTTTTTACAAACTTTTTAACAACCTCTGAGAGAGGCAGAGGGAGTTCATTCTGACGAGCGAGAGTTAGTGAGTTTGCATTCACGCAGAGAAGTGCAGGCGCAAGAAAGAAAAACTTTCATTTGATCATCCGTCCTGAACCAGTGAGGTGTGTAAACAACACTGCAGACTTGGAGTCTGCATCGATCCCCTTGAGTGTGCCTGATTTTAAGAGGTGCTGCATTACCCTCTGCATCCCTACTTCCTGTTTCTCTGTGCATCTGAAATGCCTCCATGCTGGCTCAGGATCTCTGAATAATTCTTATTTGGGGGGTGAGGGATCCAATTTTTATTTCATGTGGTGCAATGCAGTGTGTTGCCATACTTCATCATATACGGGGACTTCAAGTGTATATTTAAGGCACAGCCAGTTCAACACACACACACACACGCACGCGCACGCACACACAACACACACACACACACACACACACACACACACACACACACACACACACAGTAGTATTCAACCTCTTTTAATTTTTCTACGTTTTTGTCATATTAAAACTTAATTTATTAATTAATAAAAAAAAAAAATTCTGGGATGGACCAACACAAAATAATCCATAACTCAGAGGTAGTAACTTGGAATCGAAAATATTTTCCAAATGAGGAGAAAGCAGCTCTTCTCTTTGAATCAAGTGACCAAGATCAGATTCAACCAGCTGCCTTCAGTTTAACTTGTGCTCCCAGAAGATGTTTGCTTTTTGGCATTTTAAATCAAACAGTGAAAAGTTAAAGTAAGTATTGAAAAAGTATTTTTAAATTCCTAGTTGTATCACTGTGAAAGACAAGAGGTTAAAAACTAATCCAAACACACGCTTTTTGTCATAGTTTCCATGTGACATTGAGTGTGTCCGTGTTGTACTCACTTGAGATTTTGTCCCCAGTTGGATTGTGTTTCCTGCTCCTCCCTCCTCACAGTCTCTGATAAAGACTTTCTCCGCTTTGAAAATCGACATGGTCTCCTCGCTCGTCTCCTCATGGGACACTGCGACGTTCTGTCAGGAGAAGAACATGAAGCAAAATGTTCAGCAGGAACTGAGCGAGTGAAACCCGAGAAATCCCGAGGTGAACTTCAGCGAGCCTGTCTGAGCTCAGGGGTGTGTTTGGTTTCACCACATGCCCCACACATATAATTCACATGTACGCGCACATGTCCAGCTGACGTTTTTTTAGCACATGCCTCGTATGCAGAGCTGGATAACTGAGGAGAGGCCCGAGTACACAGAGAAGCACATAAGCAAGATGTTTTCTTTGAAGAGTTTGTGAAGCTATAACTCAAATCAGAAGCTGGTATTGTTGCAATCTGATTGTATTTTTTTTTTTAATCTATTTATGTCTTTTTATCGTTAAGCATTACCGTCTGCTACAGTGTCTTCTTTTAAACTACCAGGGGAATTTGCAAACTTTTCCAAATCCACCAAACTACTGAATAGGAACACCGCATATTAAGACCTTTAGACAGACATGAGTTTTTTTTTTAAAGGTTTATTTTGGGCTTTTTAAGTTGCACAGTGGATAGAGTCAGAAATCAGGGAGAAAGAGAGTGGGGAATGGCATGCAAGAACGGAGCCACAAGTCGGATTTAAACCCGAGGCTGCCCACTTGGAGGACTAAATCCTCTGTGCCAAAGCCCCCTTCAGCAACCAATGGGTGACATCACTCAGGCTTCATCTTCTTTTATCTACAGCCAAACACAATCTCTCCGTGCATAGCCATCTGAGGTTCTTTGTCCGGAAACTTTAACCATAAACAAAGATGGGAATAAACTAGATATACAGTAAATATTTTGTTACTTATATCTACTTAAGTAGAGTTTCCTGTGCCTTTTGAAGCTCTTCTTATTTTGCTTCTTTGTGTCCCAAGCTCCCAAAATCATGGCGGATTTCAATCTATATGTATTTGACAATTGCTCATGGAAGACAAGATTCATTGGTGTATTTTTCAGAGGAAACATGATGGAAATGATGTTAAAAAAACATATAAGAATGACACAGTCGAGTCACAGTCAGTCAAGTGAGAAACTCACAGAAAAAAAGGTGAAAAATGAGGTGTCTGTGAGCGTGACGCAAGCAGAACATCACAGATGAACACTCATCAACATGTGAGCACATTGAGACCAGCAAGGCTTTTCTTCTTTACACTTTGGAGCAAGATGTACGTTCTTTTTATTAAAACTGAAAATGTAATGTCGTTTTGAAATGAGGATGATTTGAGTGTAAAAGTCTCACAAATGTGACCTGATGATCAGTTAGCTTTGAAAAGAGACATCCTGTATGTCCTTCAAGGTTTACTTTCTCTTTCATCACCATTCATTCAATGAACACATTTCAATTCATCTCTGTCACTTTTACTTCTGTGCAAAGGTTGAATCTGTTCTCCTACTTTTACCAGAGTCCTTTTTTCCCCGAGGTATCTGTGCTCCTAATTATTCTATTTCTAATGATGAGAACGTCATTTGAGTTTTTCCATCATTTTTAGAGTTTTTTTAAAATAAAAAAAGAAAAACCATCTTGTTCAACTCCAGCTCTTTTCATTACCGAATCCAAAAAATCAAATCAGATTTAAGTAAAAGTTTGAGCTTTGAATCCATCCAAAAACCAAAAGACACAAAATAGATGAAAAATGAAACTGACATTGAAAACTGATAGATAACTCTTAATGAAGCTGCTGCTGCTCGATTATGGCAAAAATCCTCATCACCATTATTTTGATTGATATACAGATGACAGTTATTAAACATGATTACTCATTGATTTTACAACTTCGCATGAATTCATCAGACTTAAACACGCTGAACACTTTCAAAAAAACAAGCAATACATGAAAACAACCCAAAAGTATAGAAATATATACAAATACTAATAATTAATAAATACATAAAATTAAACTAACTGTTTTTCTGGTAGTGGAGATTTTCTCTTGTGGCCAAAACATAAAAACTAACACATTGAAACATTTACCACACATGACAAAAACTATGATCAAAACATTGAAGCAAGCTAATCTGTTTGTTTGTATTTTTTAAAGATTTATTTTTAAAGCCTCCATTGCAAGGACAGTGGACAGAGTCTGAAATCAGGGTGAGAGAATGGGGAACAACATGCGGGAAAGGAGCCACAGGTGGGATTCAGACCCGGGCCACGCACCCAGAGGTCCACAGCCTCCGTACTTGAGGCGCGCGCAACAACCACCACGCTACTGGTGCCCCACAAGGTCATCGATTAATCTTGATTATTTCGTGTTCTTGATTGTGGGAGGACAAAATCGAAACTGAAATTGAAACATGATTCTTTCCACAGCCTAAACTGATCAACAATCTCATATGATAAACACAAACTAAAAACTTAAAGAGAAGGTTGTTTTTGTTTCCAGACACTAAATTAAGACTGCCAGCTAGCTGTAATTTTATACTAAGCTTGTGTATCAACAACATTATATATTAAAACATCATTATGTAGGAATTTGGTTTGATGCACTTTGGCGCCCACCAAAGGTCTCTGAGTGCAACTGCACTGTCGTAGGTCTCATAATGTTACTCTCCTCGACAATGTGCGTTTGTTTACAAGCAGAGGGTAGTGAAGCCGCAAAACCTGGGATATAACTCGGGTTAGATGACTTTCTGTATCCGGTAAAGCTGCTCAACATGAGACAATGAAGACACAGATGACGGTACAGCCTAACGTTAAGTCACAGTCTCTTCTAATCATTTCTGCAGAGATGCACGATCTGCTTTTTGCTCGGTCATTTTCTCATTTTATCTGCTTGGATTCACCCGTCGCCGTCGTGTTCCTCTTTGCCTCAGCCTTTGTATCGATCAATCACCAAAAAATTTGAAACTACATTTCCAGGTATTTGGCCCAAAGATTCAGCCCAGTGTGTGGATATAATCCCAACGGATTTGATTTATATGCATGAGCTCAAATAAAGGACATTTTCCCTACATCTATACCTAATACATGTGACATTTAAGAGAAGCTTGACAGGGGAAGTGAGTATGACAAGAGTCATTACTGATATGAACTCCCACATTTATGATAATTTTGATCCTAAATATATATACCTGACATTTGATTATGGCACCCTTCAGTTTTCTTGAACCCATTCGTCCTCAGTGCTTTTCTTATAGCTCACTGATAGGCAGTAATCCTAAAATTGGAGGCTGCCAGAATGACACTTATTCCAGGAACAGTAAATGGTAGCTCATGACATCATGATCATCACATGCCAATTTTCAAGAGTGGTTATATTTATAGCTTAGATTTGATGTACAGTGAGTCATAAGGTGTGTTTCACGGGTAAACAGGAAGATGTGACTCTGCAGCACTGAACATGAGATCATGAATATGTTCTTCTTCTTTTCTCTAGGCCGTCCGTCCATGTAAACATGATGTAAACACGGCTCTGACAACAACACAGCCAGAAAACTCGTTGTTCTCACTCAGTGTTGACAGTCATGACTCAGAGACATTTACACAGGATATAATTGATTTCTGCGGTATTGATGTGTGAAATGTCACACAAGCCTTTAAGCAAACATGCTGTACTTTAATTTAATATATGTAGGATCTGGAGGGGAAGTAACTAAGTAACCAAACATGGTCGTTGAAAAGAATCCTGGTGTCTCAGCGTCATTCAGAACGATCACGACACAACTCAGAAGGCTCACGATTACAATTGCTGCTCATTAGTTTCACTAAGCACCACTTCTTGAGAGTGTAGATGAACTGAATGTTTCAGAGTACCTGCTGTCTCTCTTATTCCGTCCCTTTTGATGAACTGAAGCACAAAGAGATGAGTAGAAACATGAAGAAACCGTGTGGCCTCGAAACAAGAAGATAATTAGGCAGGCTGGCCCTGAGAGCTGTCCCTTATACTCTAAATCAATAGTGGCCAATCAGAATGCATGCTGGTAATGATCACTTGTGGCTACATGTACCGATTTAAAATACTGCACATGTACATATGTTGTGTGGGCTGCTCTTACTCACTGTCTATTGATGAGCTGCAGGCTCTCACGTGATTATCTACAGTACATCCTTCCCTGTGGAATAAATACAAATAGAAAATGTGTTGCCTCTCAGAACTAATCTGCGACATGTAAACAGGATGTCACTCACTCTGACCTCAAAAAGCTGTAATTACGTTGTGGATTACTGTCAAACCAACAGAAAAGTGTACACAAGATGCAAGAATGTGGTGCAAGAATGCATAATGAGCACCACAGTATGTGTGTGTGTGTGTGTGTGTGTGTGTGTGTGTGTGTGTGTGTGTGTGTGTGTGTGTGTGTGTGTGTGTGTGCATTCATGGCAACAGTCTGAGTGGTCAAACAACAAGAAAGGTGCTCTCAAAGCCTGGTTAGAAATAAATTGTCCTGTTTTATGTGGTGGTACTAATACAGAGATGAAAATGATTTCCTGTGTATGCACTATTTACTTTACAGCAGCATATTATTAGACGCCCCCTCCGTCACTCTACTTGAATCTGAGGTGGGGGCTGAAAACCAAACTGAGGCAAAGGGCACGGTGCTACACTCGTTTAAAACCCAAGAAAGCACTTTTAGGGTTCTACATTGAACACGCGCTTAATTTCTGATCGAAGATATTATTGTTCCTGCAGTGATATATTTACTTTCATTTTTTTTCTTCACACCCAGTCGGGGTTAGGGTGCTCTATAATGTGCAGTGTAGGCCTGCATGTTATGACAAAAACATACAATGTATGACAAAATTGTTTTACTTTGCGTTAAAAGGATGAAGAGCGATCAATAAAAGCTTTAACTCACAGTTTTTATGTCCGTCTGCTGTTCTTCATGTTTGACATGATACCTGTGTTTGTAAAGTTTTTCTTTTAAATCTAAAATAAATCATCATCATTACCAAATATGCACCAATTATTCTAAGGGCTGTTGCCTCAAAATAGTAATGAAAGCATGATCATTAGCTCCATGCCTCCATCAAACAGGTACAATGTACACATACTGAGTGAGCAAGCATTGCTTGTTGATAGAAAACATTTCATTGTGATAAATTCTGACTTTTATTACAGAAGCTTTTATCGCGATGACGGTTGGGGGAAAGTGCACATTCTTAGCACAGAGTGTTAAAAACGGTAGATGTCAAATCTGGGTGTAAATAATGTTGTTGGGTTGTTAAATCTCTTAATCAATCAGCTCTCGGCCTCTGGGAGCAATGGGAGACTTTTCAGGACGTAAGTTTTTGTGAGTTGGTGTTGAAAAGTGACGTCTTTGAGAATATGGTTTGCTGCACTTTAAAGACATTCATTTAAGCTAAATGATGACTGATGATGGTTACTGATCATCACTTTACGGCTGGTTAGTTCTGTCCCTATTGCTCTCCACACTACAAACAGAAGCCCGAACACACACAGACACCAGAACTATACTGCAATGTGTCAGGGTTTGTCCCTTCCTGGATTAGATGGACAGGACATCAAAAAAAGTTTAGGTAGGGAAGTTAATTTTAAGCATACAGATATTTCCTGTTTGTGTAAAAACATGGGTTGTTCACAGCTTTGCTGCAGATCGATCATATGTCATATGTAACACCCCCCTGAGGCAGCAGAAGTTGGAAACTGCCACCCCCCAGTGAGAACATCTTTGAAGTGCCATGCAGGCCGAGGGCCCACAGCTCTGTGGGCAGCAGAAGCACTCAGCTGTCCCGAGGCTCCGAGAGCTGGTGCTGCTGCTGTGATGTTATTTCCAGCCCTAAAAAAAACCTAGTATTACATTCACACATTTAGAAATAAACCACACATGGGGGTCTGCATCACCCCCAGGCTGAACGTTTGTCTGAACTAAACAACTTGCTTCATGAAGTTGGAACCAAGATACACAAAAAAGAGAAGATATTGTGAATGGATGTTACTGCAGTGTTTTTGAGTGCAGTTCCAGTTTTTGCAACTTTACCTTTTTTTTCTCTCTCAGTCAATCAACACATAATACTGATTAATCGTTGAATTTTAACCCCCTTTTTAATCGCAAATTTAAAGTTTGATTATTCTGCGTTTCAAAACCGTTGATGTTGACAATGTTAAGTGATTCTTGCCACCCGCTTCTATTTGGAAATCAAATGAGTGCAAAGAAATGAACATTATGAACCTGACTTTTACATCACTCCTAACGCTCCACTTTAATGCTATGCCAGCTTTGGTGATGCAGTTCCCCGCTGACATCAGTTTAAATAGCTGCACCTGTATGTTAGCTCATAGGTAGCAGCTCAAACCTGGAGTACTTTGGGGATATTACAAGAGGGGATGGCCCTGCAGACACACAGAAACACATACTGGTAGCAATAAATAAGGTTGTGGAGATGCCCGAGAGGTGTTCGATAATTATTTTCTAACCTAAGAACAAATCCCACATAAGAAAACAAAAACATCGGTGAATCCCATAAAAAAGGATTTAAGGACAAATTTGTTCTTCAGAACGGTTGGTGAATGAGGCCCACTGTTACTGATGATGAATAGTCATTGTCTCCTCTGGGTGTGTGCTGCTGTTACCTGGTCTGAGTTTCCTGTCAGAGCTCCGGGTGTTGCTTCCTCTGTAGTGATGCTTTGAGTTGGTAAAGCCCACAGCACCGGCACAAATGTGAAAGTAGGTGGCTTAGATCGTTCTTCTGTTAAAACCTGTAAAATAGAAAATAAAAAGCAAATTACCCAGATTTTCCAAGCTCTTAATTATTAATTCCGTGGGTTCCCCTGCCAAGAGCAAACAGTCTCATGAGCGTTTCATATTTTAAAAACATGAAAACATGGTTCATGTCTCAGCATCTATCTCACAGTTGAATACCTTTAGAATTTACTATTTCTCTCAGCTTCACAGGCTTATGTAACTTTACCCTGCCACTAATGAGCCACCATTACACACACACACACACACACACACACACACAGAGATTAGACTGTTTAGCGCCCTGCAGCTCAAAGTCTCAACACACCCACACTCAATGAGCACAAGTAATGAGAAGCTATTAAATCAACTTCTTGTCTGTGTCAGACACTTCACAAGTTGTGCTGTTCTCTTAGTGTCTGTAAAAAAGTATAGAACTAAAACTTTTTATAAAATTAAACTGGGAAGGGAAGATTTCCACAAAGGCCAAGCTCTTCCTTGGCTTCCATGCTACACCTTTACCTCAAGTTTCATGAAAAGCAGACCAGAAGAATATCTGTTTCTGACAGACAAAGGGATAGACCATCAAGACAGTGACCCCAGATTGCTGAACACCAATGAGACAGGTTCTGCCCAAAGTTTCTACCTGCAATTTTTTTTTCTGTTGTTTCCAAGTGCTCGCTCATTGGTGGATAGACTTGGGAATCTGTAACAGAGTAAGTTCTGCACCTGAGGGGTAAACCTCCATACAGTGTTTCTTTGAGTAAGCTGACTTCTTAATGCCTGAAGCTGCAGACGGCAGCAGGATGTTACATTACAGACGATACATTTATATCAACTCCTCAATTAATCAATCAATCAAACTTTATTTATACAGCACCTTTCAGACAAATTAAATTGCAGTTCAAAATGCTTTACAAGAGTGCATAAAAGTTATTGACGAAAAATAGTTTATAAAATCATTGATAAAATCATTGAGAGACTAATGCACACCAGTAAGAATTAAAACAAATATGTATAAAAATGAAAAAAATAAATATGACACATAAAAGCAATAAGATATTAAAATTAATACATAGGAGAAGAATATTTAAAATTGTAAAAAAATATTCCTGTCCTGCAGACACACTGAGATGAAATGGACAAAAAAAGGTCACCATACACAGTGAAGTATCAACACTTCACAACATATTTCTGTGTGGAGTAATTATTTTTATATTTACATTAGAAAGTTAGAACTTGCTTAAAGTCAAACCATGACTTTTCCAAAATGTAACCAAGCAGTTTTTGTTTTTTTTGCCTAATCTTGCTCAAACTGTGATCATTTCCAAATGTTAACTGTGCACTTGTTGCAAATACAGAGATGAAGAAAAAGAGAACATTCTGTTAGAGACACGTTAGAACATTTTGGTCTCCCGTTCGGAAATGTCTGCAGCTGAAGTGATGATCAGCTCTTGGCAGCTTTGTTGCCTTTGTATCCAATGATTCCTGTTCTTTAGTCTTTCATTGCCGAACAGGTACGCAATGTCCTCTCTAAGAACTGAAAAAAAGAAAAACAATTTGGACAGCACTCCAAAATAGTATTTTAATTGCCACTGACTACTGCAGTGATGAAAGATGTAATGGTGGAGACTCCCTCTGCTGGGATGGACAAGTACCTTTTTTATTCAAATATAAATGAGTCCCACCTGTGTATGTTTGAGTAAATTGCCTGTTACACACTGAAGAAGAGCGTCTGCTCAAAACATTTGTGTGGCAGTTCAAATACAATTTTGGATTGCTGTCCTAATTCTGTTTCTTGTTTGAACATTTTTCGGGATTCAGCAGCCAGTTGTTTTACGTTAAAAGGGAGTTGAGCTTGTTTTATCTATCATTATTCTCTCTGAAAACTGGAAAGGGGATTGTGTGAACCAACATTAGTGTTGACGTCGTTTATTAACCTCTGGGACAAGCATTGTGCACACTTTGTGGACCAGAAGAACCCTGTGTACCTAAATAAATGTGACACTTTCAGCAATGATGTTTTTGATTTTGGATTGGTAAATGGACTTGAGCTTGTATAGCAGTCATCTGACTACTCAAAGCGTTTTTACGCCGCAGGTCACACTTACACATTCACACACTGATGGTAGAGGCTGCTGTGTAAAGAGACCATCAGAAGTAACTAATCACATTCATACAGCAGCGGGAGCAACTTGGGGTTAAGTCTGTTGCCAAAGGACACATCAGACATGTGGCTGCAGGAAGCCCTGACCTTCCAGTTGAAAGACGATCAACTCTACCACTGAGCCACAGCCGCCCCCCCCCATGTCGAAAGGGTATGAAGAGGTGGTCCAACGTGTAATAATAGCAATTGTAGATGTTGAAGCTGTAGCGTTTTGTATTCAAGCATGGGGGAACCATTACATCTCCAATCAGTGGGCGTGAATTACATTTCTTAAAGACTGCCTCGCTGATATACTCTGGAGAAGTGTGTTGACTCACTTCATGTTTTCTATACATGTGAGCAATAAAAGAGGTTTGTTTTGTTGAAGTGGTGACACTTTTTCCCATTATGTTTTGGGTTCAACGGCATTTCAAAGTGTCAAGTGCAAGAAAACATTGTAATTTATTCTCACTGCAGCAATCACTCAAACACTCATGAATAGAACTCGCGCTGCTTTAATCACGCTGGTTCTCCACTTCGGTGTTGTGAGGTCCCAAGAAAAAAACAAAGTGAAGGATAAGGAGAGTGACGCGCGTGGTTCCTGCTGGCACTTTTTTTCATTTGATCATTTGACTTTGTGCGTCATGCATGAGAATCACACATTTCGTATAATGACTTGACTGACCATGAATAAAAACCTTGGTGATAAAAAGATAAATAGAATCGACCATCTCACAACTGAAAGGTCAGAGTTCGATCCCCAGCTTCCGCAGCTACATGTCCAAGTGTCCTTGAGCAATACACTCAATTGCAAATTGCTCGCATTGCTTTGGCGGCGTCAAAGTGTTTGAATGGGTTAGTTGATTCTGATGGACGCTTTACTTAGCAGCCTCTGCCATCAGAGTGAATGTGGCTTGAATGGGGGTTTGAGTCGTCAGAAGACTAGAAAAGAGCTATACAAGCTAAAGTCCATTTTCTATTTACAATTCATATGCGGAAAAAACACACACGTTATCTGTGGTATAGCCTTTTGAGCCTGACTGTATGAGTCAACATGTGGCTGTATGATTAATGGTCTCTTTCTTTGAATCAGCCAGTGTAAACATGAAACATTGTCCAGTGTAATTTGCTACGGGTGGTCTCTTACATTAAATGAATTCTTAAAACATTATTAATTACCAGTGATGTTATCAATAACACCAAGGTTACATTCATAATCATACAAGACACAGCCGCCCCGCCATCATTCTGTACGTTACTATTGAACAAAACAAATGGACACGGAGAGCAATGAGCAACAATCCAAACAAACACAGCCTTAATCAAAGTCACCACAAAAAGCATTTACAGAATACTTCAGCTGCATGTGGACAAAAACGTCTTATATGATATTGTTTATATGTAAACAAATCCAAAAAGTTTGTATAGAAACAGCAACACATAGCTCCTGATAGGTAGCAGCTGCCTGCCAGCTTATGCTAATGTTAGCCCGACGCACACAGCACATTACAGAAGTAGCTTTCTCTTAGCCCATGACGCTAACAACAGTATTAATGCAGGTCATTCAGACAGTCCTCAGAATCATCTTATTATCCTACTTTTTTGGCAAGAAAAGTCTCAATCGCTTTGGTGGGCGAAGGTGGGCTAGTGGTTGGTGTGTGCACTCCATGTAAAAATAATGCAAAAATTTCCCCCACAGGGATCAATAAAGTTTATCTTTATCTTTATGTGGGGAGGCTACAGCTCTCCAAGCAGGCGGCCCAGGTTTGAATCCCACCTGTGGCTCCTTTCCTGCATGTAATTCCCGCACTCTCTCTCCCTGACTTCTGAACCACCTATGTAATGTCCTATCTCTAAAAAATAAAGGCATAAAAATCCCAAAAATAAAGCTTAAAATTTAAAAATTTAAAAAATTGCAATATTTGATCTACCAACATTAACCACTCTTCCACTCTACCAACATATTAATGCAAAGTTATTGTAATTTATGAATTTGTCATGTGCTGTGACTCTTACAGAGGAGGCTTATGACCTCATTGGCACCATCCCATATAAGACCTCACATTTGACGGTTAACCGCACACTTTCAGAATCTTTCTTTTCTCTTTTTCATGTTTCCATAAATGACATAAAATAAATAAATGTTGAGATCCTCTGCTGGATATCAAAAGAAATGAATCACATACGTATGTCAGTCAGCAAAGAAAAGAGAGGCACGCTCCTGGCTCGTGATTGTTGTGCAATCTTTTCTTTTTTTTTATCTTGAATTCAAAAGATGAAGGTTCTAGCACATTCTGTCCTTGCCTGTAAAAAAAAAACAAATTGTACTGCCCTATACAGAAGGCAGAGACGTGTCATTTCAGAGGGCATACAAAGCATACAAAGGAGTCTATGTCTATATCTATGCTCACATGTTGATGGACAGGCTGTGAATTACTTAGAAGAAACCAAATGCTTCATGAATCATAATCAATCAATTTCTCTTATTGTTGAATTTTCTCAGAGCTATAAGGAACTTATTTTAAAGTCATTATCACAGAAAATCTGCCTGTTTCAGTTTTCATCTTCCGTCAAAAGACCTTGTTTTTTCTCCACCTTCTCTCTTCCATAACTCACTAATGATGTGTTCTCCCGCTCTGAAAAAGGTTAAATGTTGCCGAACTTTCTCCACTATGGTATAAATAAAATGTAGCTACTGACATAAAAATCCTGACACAGAATCATTACAGTGAACTGCCAGAGAGAGATCATCTTTACTCTAAGCAAAAATGTTGCCCTTTTTTTCCAAACCCCTCATCATTTTCAGATTTTGTTTCTTTGACCTTTCTGGTTCATTTCTTATTCCAAAGAGGAAAATACAGGGACAGGAAGTTATGCAATAGATGCATGCTGCCAGATTTAGAGTCTTAACCCCGGGGGAAGAAGTACATCTATACTGGGAGTAAGCTTCTTTTTTACACAGTATGTATAATTCTTCAGTTGATTAGTGAAGACCCAGTAACATTTGACTTTATAGATGAGTGTTTATATTTCCCAAATATGATACCATGATATGACAGATATAAATACAATCAACAGTATGTGAATTATAATGTCCACAGCCAGAAAACTGATGCCTCATAAACACTTTTGCATTATCAACATTTAACATTTTTAAAGTGATCTTTAAACAAAAGTACACAGCGTTTACTGTAGTGGAAGTACAGATACTGCGACAGGTGCACAACCATAGACTGTATACACATGGCAGATATGATTTCTGTGCAAGTAATCAAACTGCTGCATTATGTTTTCTGTCTTCCTCGCTCTTTTTTTCATATTGTGATTCTGTCAAACTACGCAATGCATTGATATGAAGGCAAAGATTGTCATTATAGCATCCTGTAAGGGACTCTGTTGCTCCGTCCAACACTTCCACGTGGTTCTTACCTAAGGAGTCCCTCTGCCTCCCCTTCACCAGGCTGGGATAGTCTCCCACTGTGAAGTAAAGTGTATATGGGAACAACAAGATCAGGAGGTATTCAGGGGCAGCCCTGCTGAAATTCTCTAGAAATGTTTAAGATTTGCATTTGTGAAAATGTCTTTGCTTGTTCATACATACACCTCACAGCGGGAGACTATCAATGTCCAACATGGAGGTAGTACAGGAGTGAAAAAAACGATGCAGAAATGGCATAAAAAGCAACAGAGACCGACGCATTCATGTAAATTTTTGCCTTTACATCAATGCTTCATTGGTATGAAACATTCCCAATATCAACAAAATAGAAAAAAAGAATATACTGGCAAATAGAAAGCATGATGAAGCCTTTCATTGCATGCATGGAGACTGCACCATGATGCATCGTCTGCGTTCTCGAGGTCAGTCGGACTCATCCGCTCACCAAGACTTCACCTGGGAAATTTCCCAGGGCGCTGACAGGAAAAAAAATTCCTGGTAAAATCAGAATGAAAAATTCGGCTGTTTGCGTTCATACATGAAGCTCACCAAGAAAACTTCTAAAAGCTTTGTGCATGTGTAAAAGCACTTTGATAAAAAAAAATGTTTCCTTAAATGCATCAAAGCAAAAGTAAGAAGCCTGTTTTGCAAGTGTTAAGAGTAGAAGGTTTGGATATGTTTGTTAAAATGAAGCGAGTAAAAGTAAAAAAATAAATACTGGAGTTCAAACATCAGAAATCTCTATTAAAGTACTTTAAGAAGTTTGTACCTGGTTACTAAACACCTCAAAACATTGATCACTGTTTAACACCACTGTAGTATTACTAAAGTCAAGGCACTAAGTACCGTTTTCACTGCCTCGCTTAAACCTCTGTCACCCATGTTCTTTGACACCTTTAGGTCCTGAGCATGACACTCGTGAAGTCCAAGGTTTTTATTAGTCCAATACAGGCATATCTGTAATCAGCTCTATTTAAAGAAACAGAACAAATGTCCCCACTAAAATAATCATGTGCCATCTAATAACCCTGTTTATGTGTCTAAGCTCTTGTGCAATCCTCCTTGTTTGCATGCCTTCTGTAGTCAAAGCAGAGTAAGTCAACACTGTGAAATGTAAAAAGCCAGCGTTTCCTACTTGCCCATCGGAGCCCTCTTGAGTGTGTGATTGCGTTCGAGTGTTGCCGAGGTCATGCCGTCCTCATAGATCACATTTCCAGCCAGCACTGGTTCACTGTGTTACATGTCACCCGTCTGTGTGCGTGCTCCCACTCAGTTATTCCTCCAGGCATGTCGGACTCGTCCAAAAGAAACGAATACAAGCAGCACTAAATCATTTCCTGAAGCAGACCACCCTGCGAGGGGCTCTTTAAAGGGACACTCGTAAACGCAGAGCTACCAGAAAGTGACTAATATAATTTAAGGAGACACAGGAGAAGGTTATGATATGGGTTTATAACCGCTCACATATTGACTAATGTCTGTTTTTATTGTAGTTTATTTATAAGTTCTGCTGTGGGGGAAGCTCAAAGTTTGCAGTGCGCGTGTGTGATTTGTTAAAATAAAGAAATATTTGGGGCATCAGTGGCTTAGTGGTTGGAGCTCGCGCCCCATGTGCGGAGGCTGTTGTCCTTCATGCAGGCGGCCCGGGTTTGAATCCGACCTGTGGCTTCTTTCCCGCATGTTATTCCCAACTCTCTCTCTACTTGGTTTCCAGCTCTGTCCACTGTCCTAGCTCTACAATGAAGACACAAAAAGCCCAAAAAAGGTGCTCTATAAGGATGCTGTGACTTGGGCAAGTTGTGGCCGTAAATAGTGTTCAAATAATCGAGTCTGCTTGAGTTACTGTTCACTACGGCAGCATCTTCACTCAGGTTTTGCTTTGAGATCTCAACAGCTGAGATTTGTGATTCTGCTGATTAGAAAAACTGCAGATGAAGACATCAAACTGAGAGAAACGGCAGCATAAGACAATTCATATTGAACAGTGTTTTGTAATTCAATCCCATGCAGATGGCATTTTAATACATAGGAGCTTGTATTTCAATCAAGATTGCTGAGAGACAGAAAAAAGAGATATGATTGTTCTGTGATGTCTCCTTTTTTCAAAGAAAAAATCCTGAAGAAAAACACTTTTGGCCACTTTTCACGCTGTATTGTATGCAACATTATAAAACATAAGTTCAGCACAATGCAGCACCTTGCAGTTTCCGAAAGCTCCACATGAATGATCACATATTCTCTCTTTTGTGTCCGATGGTTACCATAGAGCCATACTGAGCACAATCAATCCTAAAAACCGCTGTGCTCCATAGATGTACATTTGAGTGGCCACAGTAAAAGCATAAACACTTGGGTGTGCCACCGAGCACAGAGTTTAATTACAGACCAAAACACCGCCCCTCCCTCCAGAGCAGATAGGGTGTGCAAATATAGCCCACTGCCAGCTGCTAGCGAGCACGAGTTATCTCTCCAGATAATAAACAAATGACTCCAACACAAGGACAAAAGCATTAAATTAAGCATATGTTTGAATCACTGTTGAATTTTCAACTCGCTGAATTATTTAAATGATCCTCAAATACACTCTATGTGTGATGCATCATAAAGGTTTTTTATACCTTTGTGCAGTGATAAAAAGTTTAAAAAGTAACCTCTATACTTGTATGCATACATTCTTAATGATTTAGTTTGTAGTTTCTCTGTGTGTTTAAATAAATCCCCCAAAAAGTTTGTTTTTTTATGTATATAGTGACAGGAAATAACAGAAGGATCAAGTAGCTGCGTCCGAGTGTATACTGTGTCAATGTGTTTATTTGTGAGAGCCTGAGAGGGGGCGAGCGAGTCGAGGGCACATCAGTGGGGTTAAAGGTGTAAAGAAGTTAGATATTAAATAACTTAACTGTTTTTTTCCCTCCCGGTATGATTTAGCTTTGAGGTTAAAATCTTTATCTTATAGGATTCTACAAAGTTTAAAGCAAGAGTCAAAAAGTTCCCAAAGGGCAGCAGAAAATGAAGACAGGTCAGCGATATAACGTCAACTTAGCAGGCATCAAGCAGGTCGTTTTAAGCAAGTACTTACTTCAAAAGAAAAAGTACCTTACCTCCTCTGGATTTGGATTCATATCGTCCATTTCTGTTTCAAATGACTCTCCATCCAGACGTGTTGCTTGTTTCCAAACTTTAGAAATCTTCCTCTTAAGTGTTGATCAAACCCGACCCTGACGATAAGATGCTTATTTTTCCTGCCTGTCTTCTGAAGTTCAAAGTGTATAACTGTTGGTGAGTGTGTGTGTGTATCGCCCTGCTGATTTCCTTTTATAGACACATAATAGCCACAAATAGCTTGCAGACGGCAGTCCGCCTGCTGGGCACCACTAACAATGTTCATGCTGGGAGCTACGAGAAACGCAGCTCTAAAGTGCCGAACGTCCCGGCAGAGATCACTTATTCACATCTTTCAAAGTGTCTAAAGTCGCTCTCCTTTCCACAAATAGACACAGAAAGGGTCCTTTACATATTTCATAATGCCATGTTATGACAGACATCATGGAAAGTATCCTGACTGAGTGATCACATGTCATTAAAAAGAGGTGATTGTGTTTATTTGAGTGCTGAGAAAGTAAATAACAGGGCATCCTGCCTGACAGCTGAACAAAGCAAAGGAGCCTTTTGTTTATGGCAGCAAAAGAAAAATCAGATTTTTCTGTTTTTAAATGTAACAAATGCAGATTATACTTTACTGTTATACAGGATGAACTACTTTAAATGATATATGTATTATTGTATTGATATCTATTAATATACGGTATGTGTAGATATGCATATATTGTGTTTACAGTTTTGATTGATTGGTGTGTATATGCATGCATGTGTGCATATGTGTGCGTATATATGTGTATATGTATGTATGTATGTATGTACGTTACATACATACATACATACATACATACGATACATAAGTTTGTATGTATCATATATCCTTATTTGAAATATGTTGGGACGATGAGGTGAAGCGGACTATTTCATATTTTCAAAGGAGCTTGTGTGAGTGTGTCTGTTCTACTCTTGTCCTGTTTTTCCTGTTTACGATTCATGTTATGAGTTGCAATGGTTGCATTGGACAATGGACAGACAGTGCATCTGTATTGAAATACATAAAGAACGAGACTTCAAGATTGAATGTTTTTGTTGCCAACAGAGTCTTAGAAATTCTTAAAGCTTCAGATGCCTGTCAATGGAGATATGTAGACACTGCAATCAACCCAGCTGATATGGCTTCCAGGGGTTTGAAAGTGGATGCATTCTTCAAAGATGCAACACGGGTGTCAGGTCTGCCTTTCCTCCTTCAGCCTGAGAGTAGGTGGCCTGTTAATCCTGATGATGTTCATCAACTTCTTTCGGATGACTCTGAGCTCAAGAAAGCTGTAACAGTGAATGCTGTACAAGCAGGAGAAGAGATTGACGCTGTTACTCGCCTGTTCAGATATTTCTCATCTTGGACTAGTCTCAAGATATCTGTTGCTTGGACGTTGAGATTCAAGAACTGGCTCTTGGCTTGCTGTCGGAAGAGGAAACAGTTAAACCTTAATCTTTCAAAGTCTGACTTGGAAGTGGAACAGACAAGATGTTCACTGGAAAAGGATATGGAATGCTTCAAGAAAGTTCAAAGTTGTCTGTCAGTGGATGAGCTTGAGAAAGCTGAACTGGAAATAATCAGGTTCTGCCAAAGGAAGAGGTTTCCAGAGGAACTCTCTAGGTTGCAGAATGACTTAGACTTAGACTTTCTTTATTGTCATTCAAACTTGTACTTTACAGTGCAGATAAGAAGGAAATTTTGTTGCATTTGGCTCGTAGTAGTGCAGGATAAAAACAGCAGCATGTATTTACATATAAAAAATAAAAATAAGGTGCAGATATAAATAGATATAAAAAGAAAAACTATGAGTAAAAATAGTGTATAATAATAGGGGAGAATGTGAAGGGTTGTAGCCACATTTGTAAACTCTGCCCACTGCTTGAAGATGGCGTTTTAAGAGTTGGTGGCCGTCTGAGCAGGTCCTCTATGCCTCCTGAAGCTAAAGATCCCATAATACTGGCCAATGATTTCCATATCTCAGACATTCTCCTAAGGCACATTCATCAAGAAGTGGGACATGGTGGTCGTAACCACATGTTATCCAGGCTGCGGGAGAGATATTGGATTACTGGTGCTAGTACAGCCATTAGGAGAGTTCCTTCTAAGTGTGTCACTTGTCGAAAACTGAATGCTCAACCATTGTCCCAGCAGATGGCAGACTTACCTGTTGATGGAGTAAGGCCAGGTGAACCGCCGTTTACTCGTGTCGGAGTTGACTATTTTGGACCGTTTGAAGTGAAGAGCAGGAGGAGTGTTGTGAAGAGGTATGGTGTTATTTTTACCTGCCTTGCCATACGTGCAATTCGCATTGAGGTGGCGCCTTCACTAGATACTGATTCCTTCATAAATGCACTCAGACGAAGAAGGCCACCACACAGTTCTTTGTGACGTGGAATCGATCATCAACAGCAGACCAATCACTCAAGCATCCACAGATCCTAACGACTTGGAGGCACTGACACCAAATCACCTGTTGCTGTTAAAAACTTCACCATCTTTACCACCAGGAGGCTGACATTTATGCTTGTAGACGATGGAAGCAGGTGCAATACATGTCTGACTTGTTCTGGAAGAGATGGGTTAAAGAGTACTTACCACAACTGCAGGAGCGTCAAAGATGGTCAGGAGTGACGCGCAACATCATTGCTGGAGATATTGTGCTTATCATGGATAACACAGCACGTCGCAACTCCTGGGTCATGGGAAGAGTTCTACAGATGTTTCCAGACCGAAGAGGATTTGTTCGTCAGGTGCGGATTAAAACAAAGAGCAGCTGTCTTGACCGGCCAATAACGAAGAGCTGCCTGATACAGGTGGCCGAAGCAGGATGAGGAGTGTCTGCTGCATCTTGTAACTTTTTTGACCTTTTGATCTGACTGATTAACTGACAGACGTGTCACAAATGAATTGACAAGTTTCATGACTGAGCATGGATTTTGTGACTTTTGACTTGACTGACCTTCGGCTCAAGAAGAAAGAAGAGATTGTATGTGTTATGAACTTTGAATATTTAGATTTAAATTATTCCATGTCTCCTATTAATATTATGACGGGTAATTATAATGGGTAATAACATAATAATTAGGGGCTGGTGTGTTGGAGCCATGGATTGGTATAATTGTCTTTGTGCTATTTATTTAAGGTTAAGGTAGTTTGTTATATGTTGGTGTTTTGGGTTATTGATTATTATATCATTTATTAGGATTATACTGAGTAGGGGGATGTCGGGTCACATGGGTATGGGCGGAGATGTGTTGATTTAACTCACCTGTTCACCTTTTTGTTCTCAGTGGAAGAGAGGGGGTGAGCTGGGTTGCCGTATTTTTTGTTGACCGCTATTGTTTTTAGTTCACTGTGATTATGAGTTAATGCACGTTATTATGAGTTAACTTGATTATCTTTTTTTACGTTAATAAAAAAAGTCAAACTTATTTTTACGTATCACAGTATTCTTTTGAAAGCGCATCGGACAAATATATTAGGCCCAACCTCAGCCTCTCAGCGGCTTCATCTTCAGGAAAGGAGCTACAGTCATTATGTACAGTCTCTCTTGAGGACATCAGGAAGAATAGCAGTTACAATTCTGCAGCTTATGGGGATTCTAATAACTCAATTAAACTAAAATTTCTGATCTAAGAGTAAACAAAAACATATTATTACGTCTTCCATGGGCAAAAACTTTGACGTGTATTGTTGAGAGGTTTTTGATTGTAAGCTTGGAGGGATTAGGAGCATGATGTTCATAAAGAGAAAAATGCTTTGTGATCTATGGCATTAACATTAAATCACAAACATACTGTCTAATGACTCGAATCTACAGTCTTTTGTAAAGGTTACCATTGTGCACATTCACCTTCAGGGATATTACAGCCTTATAGAACAGCATGTTCAATGCACAGAGGACAAGCTTTGTTTGTTATGTGAGGCAGAGGAAATTGAAAACGAGGAACAATTTACTGTCCTACCTATTATGCCAAATTTGATGTTTTCTTTGTAAAATGACTTTTCTTTCTGCTGAGTTCTTTAAGGCTGGACCATAAACAGTATAAAAACATGGACAACATGACAGCTTTCCCGAAAGTGAAGCCAACTTCTCATGTTTAACAGCTTGAACACATCCAACCACATTTGCGCACAAATAAATAAATAAATAAATCCACCTTTGTCCCTTTCCTTGTCGACCTTCAAGTTAGCTTTTTAAGTTTGGAACGAAACAAACCAACTCGACTAGCATAATCAATTAGCCTCTCCAATGTTGTCATTTAGTCACGGCCAATAGATATCCTGATGACAGTTTAACGCATAAACACACACTCTACATGCAAACAACGGGCTGAAGACGCTTGCACATTTGCGCAAAATCCAAAAACATTACTGTACCTTGTCAGTCAACACGGTTGTTTAGCTTCTCACAACATCTTTGTCGGCTTCGCACCATGCTGCTTGTCAACAAATTCAAGTTGTCTAAGAGATGAAGGCGTTACAGCACTGTGTACTCAAGTCATTGCCACAGTTTGGCCACCTCAGTCGAAAAGGCACACAGTGTATTTTGTTCTGTGCTTGAAAATGAAATTTCTATTTGTAAAGACATGAAAGTTAACACATTTTTTGAAACCTGCAACTGTGAATGGATGAGGGGTTGACACTTCCTGCATGACACACACTCATAAAAATCTACAATTTAAGTAGAAACAGATCATATTAACTGCTCATATAAACTCTGCATAATGTAGACATCAGCCAGCCTGCACACTGATCCCAGCGTGTTTGTAACAGTGACTGATCAAGTGGCTGGAACCAGATTGATTTGCTTGCTTGTTTTCTGCCACACCAACTTCTCTGTTTGCCAATCAGTGAGTGAAAGCAGACCTCTGGAGTGGATGCTAATCCTTTAAGTACACTACATTCTTCATTCTGTCACAGCTGTTCTTGTCTGTTTCCACCCTACTGTCACCCCCTCTCCCCCCGTTCCTCTTTGACAGCAGGCGACAAAGTGCGAGCCACCAACGCTGCCTGGTGCTCTTTATTTTACTGCAGGTGTATTCAAAAGCATTCATATTCATTTAGAGAGATACATGAAAAAGTGCCAAAAATGTAATTATGTAAAAGCCTTTGACCATTTCATTCAATGCACTTCTTCACACTTACATTTTGAAAATGAACCATTAAAAAACAAGATTTCCTTTCAATCCTTTTAGCGGTGATTAATATTCAGCTTCGGTGAAAAAAATCATATAAGCTTTGATCTCTGGCACGTACCATCTGACACTTAATATTAGCCTTTGGCTTCAGGGAAATCCTCTACTGATTACATTAAGTGAGGTGTCAATGAGCAATTAGTGAACGCAGCAGGGATGTGTCTCCAACTTAATGAATTCCACTTCATTAATTTAGCATTTAAGCCAATTGAATGTGTTATGTAAGCAAAGTCAAAAGTTCATTATCATTATAAATATTTGTAAAAAAAAAAAAAAAATCAGGCAGCAGTACAGCTAATTATAGAGATGTTTGCAAACTATACAAATGTTATCTCTGCCTCCTAACACTGTCTTAAAAGCATGAGATGCCAGCGACCGTCAGAGACAAAATCAGCTTCATTCAGTAGTTTGCTATTTGTTCCCACGTCCTGCGAGCGATGCAGTGCGTCGCAGAGCAGAGTTTCTATATTCCTTTTTGTCTTTCCTAAAGACACTGCAGGAAGGAAGGGAGCGAGCTCTACAAGGCACTGGCAGAGTCTCACAGGAAACTGCTTTTGGTCTTCTCGTCATCAGAGCTTGTTAGCCTGATTTACAAAGAGTAGAAAGTGGTTATTTATTAATTTACACATTTATGATTCAAATCTTGTGCTTTGACTTGTGTCAATACCGGAGACACAAAAGTAACCACACGTCCTACTGTTTGCAAGGGGAAACTGCAAAACAAAGAGCAAAGAAGTAAATCTTTAAAGTGTGGACAGCGAGTGTCCGGTGCTGCACGATGCGACGCTGTTAGGACAGTGTTTCACTTTCTGTGTTGTTTTTTGGTTCAAGAAAGGTTTAAGTTGTGATGCAGTATCATTAAAAATGTAAACATTGAATCATTCAATGTATAAAAATAGAATCAAAAATATGTGTGCACATGCATTGCTACATGTCAGCTGCCACATATTTATGCATAGCAGAACATGCAGAGAGGTAATATAAGCAATGTTCCCGGGTCCCGCTTTCATTACTTAGCCGTCCCAAATGCGAGCTCCTCTCATTGTCCTCTTGAGACAAAGCCGTGACTCGAGTGTGACATCATCAGACCAGAATTGACTCTGAATTGAATCTCACACACTGGTTGTGCTATTCCAACAGGTTGTGTCCCCAGATCATTTTCGCCCAGCAGGCAGTCATCACTGAGCGACCTCGCTGGTAAAACAAGAAGTCGTGTCGGTTTCTTTGTTGTCAGCGGAGAGACACAATAACAGAAACTCCTGTGCAATCCAGTGTAACCTCACAACCTCTAAATATTAAAATATCAAAAACTGAATGAATTGTCATTTACTGAGCAGGTGTTTATGACTGAGTTTGACCTTTGTATTTTTGTATGAAAGCACATTTCTACAACGCAGGAGAAACAATTAATAAGTATCACATCATGACGTGAAGTGTTGTCATTGTAATTATGTTAAAATACTTTGCTATAACATGATGCATTTGTTATTGAAAATATGTTAAAATGTGTTGTTAAAGCCATAGACTGTATGAAACATGAACATAGTCTCAGTGACGTCATCCGTTGGTTTCTGAGTCAAAGCTTTTCAAGTCAACAGTGGTCGTCGTTTGACTATCTTCACTCGTTCCTTTCTCTTAACTGTTTTTCTTTGTAACTGACCATAAAGAATATTACTTTATATTAATGTAAGTTTCCCCTGAGCATGAAATAAAAAAAAATATGTATGAAAATAGACTCCAAAAAAAAAAAAAGTCAGTGGTCGTCGCCATATTAAAAATGTTGCTTCTAACTCTAACTCAATCTAAAAACAGGCAAAGACACCGAGCTGCAGTGCGTCTTTAGCTTCCTGGAAAACAGATACATAGCACCCGCCTGTGCTCAGTCAGATCGACCAGGCCCCTAATTATGCACAACTCTTACCCTTCTTATCATAAAAATTGATTTGTAAAAAAAAAACACCACCAGTACAGTGTGAACCAGTAAAGACGAGCTGTTAAAATCGGTATTTTAACATGGGTGTTGATGGGACTTTCAGGGCTTTTGGAACCAGCCTCAAGTGGACACTTGAGGTACTGTAGGTTTTTTTTTTTAATCGCCTCCATATTGACTTCATTTTTGATCACCTGAGGCTGCCACTGGGTTAAAACAGGACGGTTTTCTATTTTGTAATATATGAAAATATGTTGATCGGGATCCAGCCGAAGATTTCTGCCTTTTAATAAAGCAGTTTTTTCTTACCGCTCTAACTTTTGCTGCTTTGCTAAAAGTGCTCATGATGGATAGGCCGGGTCTTTGTAATATAACAATAAGTAAGGTCTTTTACCTGCTTTTTGTAACATAACAATGAGTAAGGTCTTTTACCTGCTTTTTGTAACATAACAATGAGTAAGGTCTTTTTACCTGCTTTTTGTAACATAACAATGAGTAAGGTCTTTTTACCTGCTCTTTTGTAATGTTAACAGACAATGAGTAAGGTATTTTACCTGCTTTTTGTAACATAACAATGAGTAAGGTCTTTTACCTGCTTTTTGTAACATAACAATGAGTAAGGTCTTTTACCTGCTTTTTGTAACATAACAATGAGTAAGGTCTTTTACCTGCTTTTTGTAACATAACAATGAGTAAGGTCTTTTACCTGCTTTTTGTAACATAACAATGAGTAAGGTCTTTTACCTGCTCTTTTGTAATGTTAACAGACAATGAGTAAGGTATTTTACCTGCTTTTTGTAACATAACAATGAGTAAGGTCTTTTACCTGCTTTTTGTAACATAACAATGAGTAAGGTCTTTTACCTGCTTTTTGTAACATAACAATGAGTAAGGTCTTTTACCTGCTTTTTGTAACATAACAATGAGTAAGGTCTTTTTACCTGCTTTTTGTAACATAACAATGAGTAAGGTCTTTTTACCTGCTCTTTTGTAATGTTAACAGACAATGAGTAAGGTATTTTACCTGCTTTTTGTAACATAACAATAAGTAAGGTCTTTTACCTGCTTTTTGTAACATAACAATGAGTAAGGTCTTTTACCTGCTTTTTGTAACATAACAATGAGTAAGATCTTTTTACCTGCTCTTTTGTAATGTTAACAGACAATGAGTAAGGTATTTTACCTGCTTTTTGTAAAGTGTCTCGAGACAACACTTGTTATGAGTTGACGCTATACAAATAAAAATTGATTGGTTGATTGATTGAACACAAGTTTGTTTCTAGACATTTTACGTTTGATTGTTATAATTAAGTGAAAATGTCTTGCAATAACAAGTTTGTGTATTGTGACATAAAAAAGGTGTTGTTATAACATACGTTTGTATGATGTTATTACATGTTGTTATAAGGTAAAACACATTTAGTGGCAATCTACAATCCTAAAATTTAATGTGGTGATAAATCTACCTAGATCACACTATACCGAGCCTTTTTTTTCATTCTTCTCTGAATTGGCAGAAACACGCCCTGCAGCTTAAAAAAGTAAGTATTTGTTACAATACGTTTGCACTTTATTAAGAAAGTGAGCACTGAACATTGTTGAAATCTAAAGCTATGTCATAATGCAAGGCAGGCATAGCAATCTGAAGGTCATACATTCTTGTCTTTTGACAGCGAGATTATGAATTCTTGTGGTGTGATGTCTCACCTCTTTTTCCTCTCATAAAGGAGAGCGTATAATCTCACAGGTGTGAATTGATCTTATACAGGAGGTGTGTGAATATGCAGAGTTCAGACTGACTCGTGTCTCTGCAGATGTCAGACTCCCTGCTGTGTGCTCTATTCAGCTGTGTGGACTTTAATCTCGGTGCACACTAAAAAAAAAAAAAAAACATCTGAGGGCTCCACACGGTCACGGGGTGCAGACACTATTTACCTGCACTTCCAGAACTAACAGCACAGTGGTGTGAAGGAGAGGAAGCCTGCAGCATCCATTGTTTAATTTACTGTTTGCGGTTCAGTCTTCGCTTCGGGGGAAAGGTTAGTCTCTGTGGTTTTGGTTATAAAAAATAAAGATCTTTCAAATATCTTTAATATTAAGAAATTCTTTTAGCAGCACTTCAATCTGACGGACAAAAAAAAAAAAAGAAGCTTTGCAGTGACAGTAAAAAACACATTGACATTCAGTCCTCCACAGAATCATCACTGAAGATGCTCCAACAGAAGACGGGGGGGAAATCACAGTCTGTGTCCTTCCTGAGGCTGAGGTTAAGGTGAGTGGAAGGCACTGTCAAAAAAGCGTCCGTCAGGAGTCTCATTGTCTTGCTGCAGCTCTCTTCTGGTGCTCTGTGTCAACAGATCCACATCGTCATCTGAGGTAGAGGGATGAGTGAGGATGATCCGTGGGATCTGTCAGGTGATTGCCACAGAGGGGAACGTGATTGAGGAAGGAGAAAACAAGCAAGTGGTTATGGGATATGATGTCTACAGACTGACATGAAAGATTCTTTTTTGCAGGATTTGAATTGTAACTCAAATTGAGCTCATTTCAGGGTAGGATTATATCGTAGGAGGGATATCCATTGTGGGATGGAAGATCAGCTTACTGTCATTGTATGCTTCCCCGCTTGAAGTGAATTATTTTTGGCCTTGGTTACTGTCTCCAGTTCAGACAAGGTCCTCCTCAGGTCCCTCTCCAAATCAGACTGAAACACAACAAAACAAAGCCAGAAGAAAACAAATGTTTTAATCCACACGTAAAAAAAAAAATGGAAGTGTATTCTATTTGTGCTTTGATTTGAGAAAAACAACCCACAATGCCATTGCCATTGCAGACCACCGCCTCAATTCTCTTTGGCAAACAGTCTTCCATGCTCTGCTCCTGCTGTCTGCTTCCCCAGCCCCCTCCGGTGCAGCCCCACAGCTGTCGCCCCGTCACGTCCTGAGGATCCGGAGGTGGAGGAGGAGGAGGCTGATCCGGGTGGTACACCTCCCGGGGAAGCAGCCTCTGTCTGAGCACTATCATCTGGATGCAGCTCCCGGCGTTCCTGAGGGCGCTGACGGCCTGGTGGTGGGTCGCCCCCTGCATGTCGAGGCCGTTGACCTGGAGGGATGGATGGCAGTCACAGTGGAGATTTAGGGCCGGTGAAAGTGGGAGCAGAAGTCAGGGGTGAGAGAGCAGCATATGTTGTCTAAAAATAGCTCGACCAACTTCAGATTCCAGCTTTGTATCAGAATCAGCTTTATTGGCCATGTGTGCTTAAACACGAGTAATTTATCAATGTACAACAAGTATAACATTAAATATAAACATAATATAAGCAAAAAGACTAAAATATGTAGGGCTAAATACAATAAAGATTGCTAATAAATGCTATGATAAAATACTTTTATAATGTATTGGTTACTTTTTATTGGCTTAGTTATTTTTATGACACATAAGTTTATTGTTCTAATTTTGTAAGTGATCTACTTTCAGATACGTATGACTATATTTACAAGTTTGAAATAAAGAAACCCTGTTCACATGATTTATAGTCATACTTCTATCACTGTTAACTCTTTTTAAAGGTTTAACTGACTTTAGAATAGTGTGGGTACTTGTAGTGATTTTTATTTTAACACTCATTCATGTTGATTCAAATAAAGTGTGTGTTATTTGTTGTTTTAATTGTTTTTATCATTATCATTATGAACATGATCCTCGTCCCATCTGACCTTTGATTATAAAATAATGTAACTGTTAAATAATCGATATCATGTTTCCATGTCTGGAGCCAAAGATGAGGAGTAAAGGATCCTCATGAGCTCTGTGCTGGTCTTTTGGTGCCCCCCTTTGGTCACAAGAAGAACACCAGCAAGAAGGGCAGTGTAATGAAATGATTCATGCAGCAGTATATCACACACCCGTTTGTATATTCAACAGACAGAAACTTTTCCCTGCTTACCTCCAGTAATCTGTCTCCAACATGGACCCCCGCCTTTTCTGATGCTCCACCTTTACTCACTCTGGAAATAAAGATGCCCTGAGAGGGAAAAGACACATGAACACACATTCGAGTTTTTATGTAAGTTTGCTTCTGTCAGTGCATTTGTTGAAATTGATTGTATACTAGTATGAGTTTATGAGGATATGAAACAGATATCTGAGGTCATGTGCTCCTGCAGAGGTTGGGTTTTTAGATAGATGCTGTTCTTCCTGTTGAAAGTTATAGTACTAATAGACTGTCTTTGAAACTAATTGTTTTAAGGTGGAATAGTTACATACTGTTGCTTTAAGTTGAATTAAACGTACAGTTTGGTGTGCAGCAGAATTAAAAATAGAGTTTGCTCTAAGTTTGTAAAACGAGCTGCACTGCTGACTAATGTGATACAATACAGTGCGGTATGGTACAATGCGATTCGATACAGTAAGGTAGGATAAGAATAAGATATGATATGAAATAGTACGGTAAGGTAGGGAAGATATACGACATGATAAGATATGAAACGATACGATATATGACACAAAAGGAAGTGTGAGACGATACAATACAATAGGATTTTTTTTTTGTCTCAATAGAGAAGCTTGTCTTTCGCTCATTGTACACACGTTGCACAAATAATAATAAAAAAACATAAAGTTTGTGATTTTTCCTACACTCCGTTCTCCATCCCATTTATGTGAACACACTCATAGAAACCCCGGGATGACTTATTGGGTTGATAAGCAGCACTGTGTGACTTGCTTAGCACAATGTTGTTGTTTGGATCGGTAAAGCCAGAAACTCAGTGATATCTTCAAGGTGTTTACTATTTTAGAATTGAAGGCCTCAGGACACAGAAGCAGGGAAACACCTGACGGTATCCTGACTTGTTTACACAAAATGATTTTTAACTGTTCGACATCAGGACACAACTGCACTCAGATGATCAGACACCTGGATGGTTTCATGCTCATGTGCACAAGAACGTAATTAACCTCATCTGTCACGGTCCTTCTTACTCCATAGATGAAACATGCATCAAAATTAAAGATCAATACCAGGAGCTGGGAACTGGGTCATGATAGGTATGTTCACACAGTCTGTGTTCTTATAGACAAAGCAGAAACGATGTTGAAAGAGATGCTGGATGTTTCCCATCAACACTCACCTCATCATTGTCTTTGTAAGGCAGAGAGCCCCTCCCACCTGCAATGCTGAATCCCAAACTCCCCCTCTGACAAGACACTTTGATCTGCAACTAAGGGGGAAATGTTTTTATTAGAAATAAAAGAAAGAATGTGTAATTTAGGTCGCTTCGAGAAGACAAACATTTAGAAAAGCCATATTTGCAGCTGATGGTGACATGCTGCAGAGATAGTCTGACATTTAAAAAGATCCACAAAGAGGAAGTTACTCTTAATGGCACTTGGGAGATGAATGGTTCCTGAGGAAGGGTCCTTTCTGCCACAGAAGAAGAAGGAGACCTCAGACTCGCTGTGATGGAGGAGAACTTTGCGTCTTCATGAAGAGCCGGACCTTTATGAACGACTCTGTGAGGCGGAGACTTTCTGCCCGCTCTCGTTTCAGATCTCTGATGTGGAAACCAACGAGAAGACGAGTCATTCTCCGACAGCTGGCTTGAATAATCCTGGTGGTAAAGAGATGAGGTTATGGGGCGCTGGATAGTGGTTATGTTGCACAGCCAATGTACTGAGGCGATACTTCTCATCGCATCGGCCCTGGGTTCAAATCCGACCTTGGTCCTTTGTTGCATGTCATCCCCCACTCTCTCTCCCCCAACATTTCCTCTCTATCTTCAGCTGTCCTATCTTATAAAGGCAACAAGGCCAGAAAAAACGAGATGTTGCTTATATTGCCTACGGTCTATGGTGGCCCTGAAAGGTCAAAAACAAAAACATTTCAGAAATACGACATATAGGAAAGACAACACTGCAAAAATCTAAGGAAGTGTATTTGTCTTATTAAAAAATGTCATATTATATTTTATTTAAGCCAAATTGACCTGATAAGAAAAACATATTTTTGAAGATATAAAAAGCAAAAGTTAAACAATCATTTGATAACACAACTCACACAAAACATAAAATCATTTCATGAAACAACAAAACACAACTAAATTAAACAAAACACAACGTTTTGATACAACGTGTATTTTATGAAAGACAACATTTTAAAAACAACTACAAGCACACATTTATAGAACTACCATCAAAACACAAAATCACAAAACACAATTAAATGCCTAAAAACTACGGAGCCCCTGAAGTCCCAAAAAGCAAAAAAAAAAAAAATTGTGGGCAGAAGATAATTATTCAATGGAAACAGGATAATGATCTTATAAGCACAATATATAATTTTTTACATTTTGGGACTTCAGGGGCGATTCTAGTCTGTTGGGGTCCTCGGCAAAAATTATTAGGGGGGCCCTCCAATTATCATGTCAGCCAGTTTCCCGATATATACTCCTCTTTCTCTTGTTTCTTTCCTATAGAAGGATAACTCTTAATTTTTCATTGTAGACTTTCATTGACAAACTTTGGTTTTCATGTCAATAATGCATGCAGCAGGGCAACACAAGAGAGTGCTGTCAGATGGGGCCGCCTTAGGGAGATTTCCTACTGTCGTTGCAAAATTTGCACATTTTGAACCAATGCTGTGGTTTAAAAAGCGTCAGCCCTCAGGGTCCCCCTACTGGTCTGGGGCCCTAAGCAGTTGCCTGCCTTTCCCGTTGACAATCAGAACGTACAAAACATGACATGACAAAACATGTTTTAAAAACACAACTACAGTACAAACACACATTTCAACTAAACATGAAAACACCTCATAGAACTAGTCCCACAAAACTAAATATCAAAACACAACCAAATAAAATATCACAAAACAGAACACAAGTTTTACAAAACACAGCTAAATCTCATGCAGAACATTTAACCGAAGACAACAAAAATGTAACATTTCACACAAATCATTTTAAGACATTTAAGAAACACAGACACATTTCATGGTGACTGAATCTGAAATGTTGTGTTACCATCTCGCTGTTGTTTGTTCTATAAAAATGTTTTCTGTGTCTGGGATGTTTTGGCCTTCAGGACCACCGTATATCTGGAACAGGATCTGATATCTTACCATCATATCTACTAACACCTTAAAGCAGGATGACTGAATGTACGAGGACGATACATTCTGATAAACATCTTTGTTTTAGATATTTTCTTTGTTTGTGACACAGAATCAGTGTGAACCTGCAGAAGGGTTCAACTCCCTTCAGGGGAGGTTCCTCATAAATCCCTGCATCCAAACAAACCCACATGAACAACATGAACTGACGTGCTTAAATTGGAAAACAGACCTCCTTGGGTTGTTCAATTTCCTCTTGGTTCTCTGCGCTTGAGAAGCGACCGCACACGCCGTCACTGGCCGGGGGAGATCGAAGCCCCGCCTGCTGACTCTGCTTGTTTGCCCCCCAGCTGACGACTGGGACGGACCAGTTTTGGCTGCTGGTCCTGAGGCACGGGTTAGACTGAGGATTTCTACACTCCTGGAGAAAGTCAGAGGACATCACCTGCTGCTGAAAAATGAATGTTAGTGTAAGATCTAGCCTACAAGGAAGAAAACAAACTGGTGACAGAGGTGGATCAGTGTGGTGATACAAAACCACGTCTGTTATCTTTAAAGAAACGTCTACAGCATGAGCAGCTCGTCTATAAGCTGATCCTGAATCTCCTCCTTTAGAGCTGATGATATCAGTGCAATCAGGAAAAAAAAACCTGGACCACCAGGGGGAAACAAAACAGTCATTATATTACTGGAGAGTGTCATTCAAACACTCTCACTGGTATAGTTCTACTGAAGAGCTAAAGCTGCACAAGCTAAACGCTCCAAAGCATCATGTGTGTGCGGAGCTTCTCTGCCGCTTGTTGTTAATATCTCCTGATGCATCTTAAGGAGGCAAAGACAGAAACTGAAGGATCATGCTTGAAATGAACTATGACAAAAAAAAACTCGTAACAAAACAATGGAAGTCCTTCAAAGTAACTTCACCGTCATCAATCAAACAATTTAAAGCATATAAATGAATAGAAATCAAGGCCTTGTGGCATAACTATAGAGGATGCTTCATAGAATATGTTTTTAAAATATTTCTTAACCATTATAAGACAGTATTCTTGTTCTCAAGATGTACAATCATGTTTTAAAAAAGAAAAAGTAAGTGTAAAATGTACTTCATGACATAATGCATCATCGTAGGGTATGCCTTGACGTCTCCGCTCAGGTGTCACTGTTTGGGATGCAAACAGCACAATGATAAACATTGTTTTCTGATCTACTCAGAAGCATGCCTGCGTCACTACAACATGCAGCACGTGCAGGGTGGACCAGTCAAACACAGAGCATGCCGACAAAGCATTATGGGAACTTTGTGCACTGCTGGACAGACAAAACAAGCCATGGAGGGGTCAGGAGGTGGAGTACCTGGTTATTGCCTCAAATCAAGCCAGTTGAACTTTTTATTTTTCTGTTTATGGATATCAAGAAAGCCCAAAGCAGGCGTCTTGAAATAACATTTTTAAAAGGATTAGTACGGGTAACTGATTGACACCACAACAGGCTGACTGATCAAATCAAAGCAATAACAAACATGTGGTTTAGTGTTGCACTCTTTTTATTGATCAGTGGTTAAAAAGTCGTCCAAATCTCAAGGTGCAGTAACCATCCGAGACCGGGTTTGTGCAGCTTGATCAGAAAATAATTAAAAACATTAAAAAAAAACAACAACACTGGAACCAATCACTCTGGTCCACTTATTAAAATCAAATCAAAAAAAAAAAATCAAACAGTTTATCATGTACCACTTAAAAGAATTTGAGAAACGCTGAGAAGTGCATTAAAGTGGAACTTCTGACAACTGCATGTTTAAAAAAGGATGCCGTCGTTGTGGTACAAAGTTCCGTCTCACCAAACCACCGATGATTATATTATACAGTACTTTTTTGTAAAAGGGAAAGAAGAACTGATTTATCTTTTTAAAATATACATCTTTGTTTTTGGCATCTATATTTTTAGAGAAGAGAGCGAAGCAGTGAAGCACAGCACATATAAATAAAGTTTGATGTGCTGTACTTAAGATCTAAACGGAAATCTATTTAGTATTCACAAATAGCCCTCGATGTGTCACAGGGTTCAAGGCCGTCCGCTCACCTAATGACCTTTATATGGATTATATGGATCGATAAGACATTAGTGACCGCTTTGTTCGTTACTTTCATTTCAAATAAAAACGAGAAAAAGTACCAAGCTTGAAAAAAAAAAGAAAACTTTAAAAATCTGCAACTGATTAAGAAATTTGCTATACATGTTTTATTTACATCTGAGCTGCCAAAACGTATAAAAGTATCAATATTCACAAGAGACTATACAAGAATCCTTAAATCAGTAGGTCCAAAAAAAAAGTCCTGCGATGGTTTTGCCCAAAACGTCAAAAGAAGTATTCACCCAGTGTTTTGAAAAATAGATAAAGAACAAATATATAGAATACATTTACGAGGGTTTGACCACATTATAAAGACTTAGAATAGTGCAACTATCTAACGTTGGTTTAAAAAGAGGCATTTAAAAAAAAAGTTATAAATCTTTAAAATATCTTTAAAAAGGAGCGTCTCTGTGCAGATCTTTGCTGTGGGCATTAATTCAAAAAGAGGAAGGCACGGCGGCCCACTGAGTCAAACACCTGCTCAGAAGTGGAGCGCGGTTACAGGCGTCCCAGGGTTTAATCAGAGGGCGGGCGGGGGAGGGGAAGGCCACACCGGGGTTGCTAGGTAAGAGAAATAAAGGGGAGCCGCGGGGTGGGGGAGGGGTAGGGGGGGGGTTTGTGCAGGACGACACGGCAGGACACAGGAGGTAAAAATCTTTTTCTGAGGTAAAAAAAAAAAAAAAAAGTAAAAAAAAAAAGGTCACACAGACGTGGTCACTCTGTCTGCAGCGTTATTGACCTCGTTTTTGTTGGAGTCCAGGCTTTTGGCAGCGTTCAGGTCGTTGCGGAGGTTCTCGGCCGCTTTCTTCATGGTTTTCAGCTCGCCCGGGTGAGGCGTGGCCCGCCGGAGAAGAGTTCCCTGTGGGAAGGAAACAAAGCGAGTTAATCAATCGAGCACACATTGAGAAAAAAATTGAATCATATTTCTTAAATTTACCTCAAATTTAACAGAGAAGTGTTCAAATAATATCGGTTTTTCAGCAACAAGTTCACAGAATTTTGCTTTTGATGGTATAACAACAGTGGATATAAAGCAGGTTAATATCAAAGACTGTATAATTAATAGACTACGCCCCTCTGACATCACCCACTGGTTTGGTAACTGGCTTTTTGAAGCTGTAGCCCTTTTCAGACTAATTTACAGAGAACAGCTGTAGTCAGTCAGCTCGCTTCCCTATTGGCTATAGTTTGTAGTTAGAGTGACAATAAAACAGAGTACATGCTCAGCTGTCCTCGGGGTCCCCCCCCCCATACAACAAAATATCAGATTGTAAATATTGATCACATTTCATTTTTACAATTTGAAATTGGTGCAGACACAACGTTCATCACTCTTAACACACCTCACGTCCAATCAGGACGTTGCTCACTTTTATCAGAAGGGGGGGGAATCCATCTCAAAATCTGCCTGATTTTCTTGTAGTGTGTGTAACCTTCTTATGTTAGAAACAAGCTAAGGACACATGAGCTGCACTCTTACCTGGTGCGCCTCAGGAGCCTGACAGTGAACGAGCGACTTTTTGATGGTGTATTTTTTGGTTATGTCATAAATGATCACTTATAACACATTCAGAATGACGCATTACAATATTACTTTTCCCTGAGCATGCTGGTCTCACCTTGTCATCATCCTCCTCCTCATCATCATCCAGGAAGTGAATGGCACTGATCCGGTTCATGGCTTTGTTGTCCCACGTGTCGTCTACCATGTCATTCACAAGACTGTCCAGAGCTCCGCAGCGGGCCAGATTATCGGAACCTGGTGGTGGGGGGGGGTTTCAAAAAGACACACAGCGCAATTTTCATTAGTGGACCTCCTGCACTCATTCAAATGCTCATTTAGTGCGAGCTGCGGTGATTGTGTCCGCAGATTAAAATCAATACTGCTGTTGCGATTGCTTCCCCTGCGAGCCGCCAACTCAAGAAATGAAAGCTGTCACACAACCCGGAGCCTGAAACTGCCAGATCACAGTTTCAAATCCCGGCTTAGTCACAGGCTTACAGCCACACAATCTTCCCTGCCCCCAACCTCAGCCTCAGCCTCAGCCTCAGCCTCAGCCTCAGCCTCAGCCTCAGCCTCCCTCATCTGGCCTCCACCGATCTAATATCTGCATCTCAAATCGTAGCAAGGAAGCATGTCAGAGTAAAGAATGAATGTGTTCCCCTTGTTTCTTTTTAATGGAAACAAAAACATATTTTGAAATGCGGCAAGAAACACATTTTTTTTTTTTGTGATTCTCAAACGCTCCACACACGCAAGTGCTTAAGGATGGTGATGACATCTGAGAAGAATAGATCACAATAAACTGCTGTATCAGGGAGAGATCGAGCTGGCCCTCAGCAGCATCTTTATAAGCAGCGGGTGAGCTTTTAATGGCAGCAGGCCAGCCGCTTGCTAAGCCTCTTTAGCTGTCCAATCCAACGCATTTCTGAAAAAAAAAAAAAAAAAAAACATAACCAAGGAGGGCCTCAAGGGACAGGAGAGGCCCTGATCTGATGTAGAGGACGTGATCCTTCACAGGACCTCGTAATCGACAGAGAAACTGTGCGCAGGGATAAGAGGGCACGGAACACAGTGTGCTTCTCCGAGCAGATCATGTGATAACGTCATGAAAAACACCGCCAGGCACTAAATACTCTGGTGGAGAAGTGATGAGGAATATTATCTCAAATGTCACCGTGTTAGCAATAAGAAACAGACACTTTAAAATATCCACTGGCAGCATCTAGAAATGTAGCGTTTCATAATGAAATCAAAGTTGAGAGTTCAGTTCAGCATCCTCTAACGTCTGAGTAAAATCAACATTCACAACTATATATATAAAAAACAAATATATATTGTTTCTTCAGATCATTTCTTTAACTTAAGAGGCGTCTTAGATCCGGTTTTGATTGACACCTGCCAGCCGGGTTCATCTGCACACCTATAATGTATAAGTCAGAGAAGTGTAGTGTCTCAACTCGGGGGTTTCATCCTTCTAAAGACATCTAAAGACCGATTGCGTCATTATGGATCATCGAAGGCGGTCCAATTTGGAAGGCTCCTTCAAGTGCAGCAGACAAACGCGTCCTCCAACGAAGGATCCATCTGGCGCATCCTTTGTTGCCCACCAAACCCCCAGGTTCTTTGCGGAACAACTCAAACACACTGGTGGACTTTCAAGTCACAAATAATACATTTTAATTTAAGTTACTGTTTGCAACTGAATTGAATACTTAGCAATACTAAGGGGAAAGACCTTAAAATAATAGGTTCAACTAGGTGGGGTAGTTATGGTAGCTAGTTCTGGTGTAGCTGTTGTGGTTGCTAGGTGACCAACAAAAGATAGGTTGGGAACAAATGGGAACACAATAAGGAAATGAAGACAAAACTGTGTTATTTCAGTTATCTCTTTTTGTCCCCCTGTTGGTCCCAGAGGGTCCTCAGCTGTTTTTAGATAACAATCAGGGGGCTCCAGACCAGACAGAATCACGTCTGCTGATATATTCATTACGTTACCTTTGTTGTCCGGCTCATATGGCTGTTGAGGCAGCAGCACGCAGGTGAGCACCTTCTCCCCCGAGTCCGGATCCTCGTCCGTCTGAAAGGTGAGGAGCGGCTGCGACTGGTTCTCTGACAACCACAAGGCCTTCAGTCGGAGTGTGGTCAGAGACATCGGTAAGTGGATGAGCCTGAAGACAAACAGGAGACATAAATCACTGAAGAAACCACCAGCAGGTTTTTCTTTGATTTGATGACATGAACGCTGCTGTGTGAACATTTGGACGAGAGCTGGAGTCACGTCAGGATAAGAAAGTTAGCGTTTTGTTTTGAGAAGGAGGGAGACACTTTCCAGACACTGAGGGGAACGTGTTTATGTTTGAGTGAAGCGGCAGACAGCGCTGTGGCTTTGTCTGAAGGCACAGCTCCCATCTTAAACAGGAAGTGGTTTAGGAATAGGGAATGATTCATTGGGGAGTTTATAAAACTGAAAAAAAAAACTAAAGATTTTTGGTAGCTTTGTTCAAATGTTTTGGTGTTTATGTGCTCTCAACCGAGAAGCTGATGTTTATTTTTGTTAATCCAGAGCTGACGTCATGATGATGATTGGTTGCAGGCTTGTAGCCACTTCCTATTTAAAGGCTTTATATGCGATTTTTTTTGATCCAGCAGATGTCGCCCTTGAGCACCAGCATGAAACCAAAACAACTTGCGCTGCATTGTTGTGTTAGCATGCTAATGCTAGCGATCTTTATTATGCTGGTATCTTCACACTGCATGTAAATTTACCTGAAATGAGCGTGATCTAGAAACACAGTTAAGCAGTGAGTACAGTATGTTATTCTTCTTTTCTCTAGTCCCTCAATTAAACAACTTTTATACACGAGGGGAGCCGGCCGTCCAGGCGATGTAAACAAACTGAAGATAGGACTCTGAAAACTCTGAAAGCATCACAGACAGTGGGACTCGGGTGTTACACCCATTGTAGACAGTCATGACTCACAGAGTTATTTTCAGAGGATATACTTGATTTATATTATATTTAAGTGTGAAAAATCACATATAAAGCCTTTTTAAGATGTCACGCCCATTTAGACAAACTTGTTTTGATGGACAAATTTCTCTCCTACACACCTGTCTTGTGAAGTAGATGTGCAAAGGTTTTTTTCTGAACTCTGAAAGCATCACAGACAGTGGGACTCGGGTGTTACACCCATTGTAGACAGTCATGACTCACAGAGTTATTTTCAGAGGATATACTTGATTTATATTATATTTAAGTGTGAAAAATCACATATAAAGCCTTTTTAAGATGTCACGCCCATTTAGACAAACTTGTTTTGATGGACAAATTTCTCTCCTACACACCTGTCTTGTGAAGTAGATGTGCAAAGGTTTTTTTCTGAGCGAATGTAACTGGAAAGTCTTCAAATAATCCAATGCACTTCAATGTATATAAAATTGTCAGCCAATAAGAGCGAGAAGAGAATCCAAGTGTTTTTAAACGCACCTGTTTCCAGACACATCGAGCACATGCAGCTCCGTGGCTTGTGACAGCTCCGACGGTATCCTCGTCAGTCGGTTCTCTCGCACGCAGAAGACGTTCAGACCGCTGCACCCGCCGATCTAGAGCACATGATTAGACAGCATGTCAGTCACAGTCACGGTAGAGGTGTAGAAAACAGAAGAGTCTGCAGACACATGTAGAGGATGAAACTTGTCGTCTATTCCCGTACATGTCTAGAGATGTGAAATATGAAATGCACTTGCAGATGAATAAGTGTTTTTTTTTCTCAAAGCCAGGACGAATGGAGCGAGAGCGCTTTGGCACTTTGACTCAGGATTGATGGATCTCGATAACAGAAGAGTCAAACGTCAATGGGATATGGCAGACGGAACTAAAATAAGGAGCAAATAGGCTTAGTGGTCAGACAAAGCAGGGTGAGCTAAACTGCAGTTGTAATCTATTAATCTGCTCAGACGTGAGACCTGAGCGGGATATCAGAGCTGCTGCGGGGGGATCCATCATCATGTTAAAAGAAACAAGTTAAGCTCATCATGATCACAATACGTATGACAACAAACAAGAGGTGGGAGCGCTCAGAGTCACATTATTACGTCTGCTTCCATGTCAGCACGGACAGAATTCAGCCCAGAGAGCAACTAATCAACAAATCAATAGAATCCATAAAACTGGGCCAGCGGTCAAGTAGTTTAGCATGGCACACGTCGATACGCTGTCCGTGGTTACACTGTGATTGTCAGAGTCGTCATGCGATGCTGCTTTGAGAAAACAGTGACACCATGGATTCATTATGGAGGCCCCGCTGTTATTTCTGCTCCACACACTGCGGGCTTTCGCATGATTAAGACACAGAGCCATTGTGCGACGTCTGAAGGAGCCTTTCAGACGGAGCTCCAGACCAGACGAGCGTTCTCTTGAACGGACGAGAGGTTGGAGAAGAACGTCATGTAGAGACAACACAATGGACGCCACCTATTGAACTGAAGTGTATGAAAGCCACCTATTGAACTGAAGTGTATGAAAGTCTCATATCTGAAGACGATAAACTTGAAGCAGTCCTGTCCTGTTTGCCTCCTGCAGGCACAAAGATGTATCACAATCACTTGTTAAATGATTGTTTTGTTTTGTTTTTTTGCCAAATATTTCTAATGTTTTACTTTAATATTTCAACCTGTGACTAAACATTCAAACGTGCACAATTTATCAACCAGTTTCAACCATTAACACGGGAATGGTGGAAATCTTTTAACCATTTCAAATGTTGAAAACTGTCTACAGTGAATTGACAGGCCCGATTTTAAGCTTTGTACAGATGGCAGAAAGAGGAAACGATGTATAAAATGGTTTTGATCTTTATTTTGATCTTTATTAATCCCTGAGGGAAATTCTGGTTTTACCCTGTGTTATTGAGAGACATGCTTCTCACACTAATAGACCCGGATCCCACACACACACACACACACACACACACACACACACACACACACACACACACACACACACACACACACACACACACACACACACACACACACACACACACACACACACACACACACACACACACACACACACACACACACACACACACACACAAACAGGAGCTGTGGACATGCATTAGTGGAGAGATGTCAGAGTGGGGCTGAAACACACTGCTAGGCAGGGAGCGCATCAGAGAGGTTGGGGGTTCATGCCTTGCTCATGGGTACTCGGGAGGTGCCCTGGTACCTCTCCAGCTACCAAAACAACTTCCGTAATTTGATCTGCGCTGGGACTTGAACCGGCGACCCTCCGGTTCCCAACCCAAATCCCTACAGACTGAGCTCCTTCCTCTTTATATTCATTTTGTTCTCCTCATCTTGTTGACTTTCTATCTTTATTTTAGTCCATTAAATTTTATTGATTTAAAGCTTTAACTGTCTTTTGACACCTCCCTGTTGCATCTGTATTGTTCATTGTGTTTGCATTGACATTGTTTTTATAATCTACTTCCTGTTTGGCCTGACTGTTGACGTTTATGCTGTTACTGTCCTGACTTCCCGCCTTGTCTTTGTGTGTCACTTTGCAAACATCTGTTTTTAAAGGTGATATATAAACACAATTATTATCATCCTTATATTTTGTTTACATTTTGGTACTTGGTAGGAAGCTCAGCTCATCTCTGCCTCTGTTGCCATTAAAGCCCCTCTAAGTGTGCTGGATGACAATCTTACCTCTTTGGGTAATGATGATAGCTGATTCCTGTCACAGTTGAAGTTTGAAAGTCGCTTTAATTTCCCAATACTCCTCGGCAAACTCTGAAACAACAGAACATCAAAACAACATTTCAAAAGAACCCCACGTACTGACAAAACGCAGATAAGAAGATTCCCTCAGCTACTTTGATTCTGCACGACCTCAAGTGTTTCAAACAACTAATTAAAAACAGTCCAATAGAAGTTTGTCTGAAACAACATGGACTGGAGCTTATATATTCCTGCATCAGCGGTAGAGTGTGTTGCTCTATCAGAGACAGAGGGAGATGTGTGGCTCTCACAGTCGTCTCTTTTATGAACTCATAACAGACAAAGATGTGCTGAGAGCGGCCATGTTTGCTCTCTGTGTGTCAGCAGGGGAAAATCAAGCAGCCCTGGTTTTATCTATTTAATCTGAATTTTGAACCAAGTTATTCATCTACTGATTTAAGTAATAACCAAATAGAAGAATGTTTCTGTTCCTAAATTTGACTTTGATATTAAAGGCATTAGAGCCTGACTGATTAATCAGCCGGCTAACAATATCAGCCGATATTAGCATATCACTTAACTATCAGTATTATCGGATATAAGGAGGCTTATTCAATTTAAATGTATTATCTATTTTAATTTTATATTGTTCATTTATAAAGTTTACGTGCACTGTTGTTATCCTGGCCAATAAAGGTTTTTGTTCAACTGTAAACAAAATGTTGTCTTCATTATAAATCTTTTTTTGTGTTTGAGAACTGCATTTGAGGGATCAACGTAATAAATTTGTGAGTATATCTACTTCTCTTTATTTCTAAAGATCTACGACAGATATCGGCTGATATATGGTTATCTGAATTTTTTTCTCATCAGCCCAAAAATCCTTAATCCATCGGCCCTTCAAAGTAATGTCACGTAACCACAGTTTGACTTCACATTTCAGGGGATTTTTTTCCTCATCTAAATTTTGACATCAATAGTTCAGGAATAAGACATCAGGCACGTTTCAAAAGTTTGATGCGACCATGTTTAATTATATAAATGCACTCATTTTCTCAGTTGACAACAGAAGAGATGCTTTTTGTCTTTTTCAGCTACAGATTATGCAGAACTGAGAATTTATCTCGATTAGTTTGGGGCTGATTCAGCCTGACTAAAACCTCAGAAACCTTCACACGTCTTTAACCTTTGAATATAAATTAAACTGACAGCGTTATGTGAAGTGCTGCTGCTTTCATATTGACTGTTTCTACGCCTCTGTCATGACATGGTGTTCTGATAAAATGCTTTTCTCTGTCACCCTCTGTGAGATAAGTGCTGAGGTGATGCATACACACCTGTAGCTGGTTCTCTGTGAGCACGAGCTCGGTAAGGCTTTCACAGTGGCCGATGCTCTCTGGAAGATAAGTGAGTCTGTTCTGATCAGCTTTCAATATCGAAAGTTTACGAAGTTTTCCTGCAGGGGGAGAGAAAAATAAAAATGAATCGACCTTGCTCAGACACTCGTTATTAGCAGGCTGATGAAGACGTTACAAAACAAAATAATGGAGAGAGTTTGCCGCTTTCTTGTCAAAAATAATTTATTTTTACTGTCATTTTAAAAGAGCAGAGGATAAACTCCACATGCTTACCGATGCTTTCTGGTAGAGCATCAATGAGATTCTGAGACACGAGCAGATCTGCGAGCATCACCAGACCCCCCAGCTCTTCTGGAAGTCGCTCGATTTTGTTTTCGGATACATCCAGACACAACATGCTTCTCATAGTGCCCATTTCCTACAGCGAGGAGACTTGAGGTTAGAAATCACCAAATAAAATCAGAGAATATTGTCTATGTAATCAGTGAAGGATAGTAGACGTAAAGTGGTTTATATGCCACATTTAAACTCAGGAACTGATCCACGAGTGCAGTTCATCTCTGATTAAGTTGCCTTACATTTAAACAGAAGCATGCAAAGAAAACCCAACATGACAGGACCGAGGTTTTCAGGGGGTTCACTGAAAAAAGGGCCACAATGGGATTATAAAAACTTGTGTAGTATTGAGTGAGTGTGCAGGTTTGTCCTCCTTTTCTTGCCGCTGTTGTTTAATTGCCCTGCACCTACTGTACGTGATGTGTTTATAACAATCCTCTTTCTTTTGGGGGTTTATCAGAAAAATATCTGTGAGTGTAGGGCACTGCAGCTTCTTGGGTTGTCATAAAACCTGAATTTTAAACTGCAACAGCAACAAAAACACAATTCCTAGGCACCCAATGTTGGAAAATGTCATCTGTTTAATTACCAAAAACTGCAAGCAAAGTCCTGCACACGGTCTAGATTACACAAATACACTGGCAACATGTCTTTTTAAGAGACTTCAACGTGACTTTCGCATCTTTTTAAGATGACAAAAGGACTGGAGAGACATCTGTATTTGCAGACGTGTGAATTTAAATGTTCCCCTGCTCACTTTTTCTCTCTCTCTGCAGCTTTGGCTTTGCTACTTTCAAATACTATTGATCATTAAAATAACACAGATTGCACTCCAAGACTCAAAACAAGACGAAGACAGAGAAACAGAACCTCAAAAATAAGAAATAGGAGCAACGATTCGCTTACTGCAGGTATTTCAGCCAACTGGTTTCCATCCAGCCACAAGTCCTTCAAGCTGACAAGACCGCCTATTGACTCGGGCTGTGTGGGAGGATGAAATGTAGAAATAGAATAGAGTGAGGGGCGAGGAATAATAGAGGAGAAGGAAAAAACAGCAGACAACAGAGCAGGAAAAAAAAAGGACATTATTAGTGACTCATTATGTACTTCTATGTTCTTGGACTCTAATTCATTGCATGTACACAACACGAGGTGCAGAAACTGGAAGCATATGTAGAAAAAGTCGATTAAGATGAATGAAAATAAGTTTAAACTTTTAATTATTGTATATTTCTCAAAGATATTGAGCAAACAATGATTCCATACAGAGGGTTGTATACCCATTGAGCTGCTTGTTGGATTCCTGGTTTCTTACGTAAACTTGACCTTCAATATTCAACAAAACCCGGCTCATAAATTCTGACAGCGTCCAACAAGGTCACATAAATGAGAAATGAACTGAAACACATGAAGAGTCATTTCTTAGCAGGCCGGCTTTTTCTTTACTTGTCAGTGAATCATTGACCATCAGAGTCACGCCGCACACACAAGATTAACAACTTCAAACCAAAGCTGAAAGAAGATGGTCATCCGGCCAGCTGGGTGATAAGAGGTGAAAGCTGTTCTCGAGGGATGCTAATCTACTTCTACAACACAAGAACCGGGGGAAAAGATTGTCTCCATCCATTTTTAAAGAGTTATCAAGTTCCCAATCAAAACTTACCAAACTGTACAGTTCATTATTCCCTAAGTCGAGTTCTTCAAGTCTGTGAAGCATAGAGAGTGACCTGTGGACGAGAGGCGGGAGAGGAGATGAATGCAATGCAACTTCCTGTATGGTCTAACACCTTTCACAGAGACATCACTATCTATAAATATATATTTATATTTCCAGAGAATACTTACTCTGGTAGGAATGTGAGCAGGTTTTCTCTGAGTTCTAGTGATACCAAATTGGACAAGCTGTAATAACAGAAAGAAAGAGAAAAAGATTATGTTTCTAAAAATTCCAGGGAAAAAAATAAATAAAGTAGAGCTTCTGTAGTATTTCTAGTCCCATCTTCACATCAAAGATAATTATTTCACATGATAAAAATGACTTAAAACGTCTCGTTGGAGTCAGATATGTGGAAACAGGAAGTACTTTGGAGGCCAGTCGGTCTTATCAAGGCTGTAAAATCACGACGGCATAAACAACCGCTGCATACTTTACATAAAGAGCAACATTTCTGCGAAGCCATCGCAGAGCAAAGTGCAGGGTTATCTTCCTGCACTTGTGTTTATGTCTCAGTACTTTACAAGTACACAATTAATAACAGATGAGTTTATGAGTGCAGCTGATAATCACAGCATAAAGTCCACGTCCAAAGAAATACTTCAGCCTTCATTCTGTAGAAGATGGACCAAGGAGGCAATAACTTTTTCAATACTACAGAATAAAAGAATAACAGAGAAAGAAAACAGCCATCTTTCAGTGTCAAGAGTCTCAGGCTTCAGGGAAAGATGGTTTTTTTTCTTCTCAGAAAACACTCCCCTCTCCTGAGATAACCCGCTGCTGTCGTTAACCTCTTCATCATTCATCTTCTAAAAACACTGTCATGGTTTTCATTAACCTTTTTTTTTTCTCTCTCTTGACGGCGAGCAGACCTTAAAGAAGCTGCGTTATGTAAGACAGATATGCTGGGACATATGTGGGGCACATGCTGTACCGCGGGGAAATGGACGGAGACGTTACAGGAGATCTGTTGGACTTAAGCCGACTTTGCTGCTGCATGCAAAATCTAAATAATCTGAATCAGTCGAATATACACTTTTAAATCAATGTGGTTCAAGCCCTTGTTTATTATGTTCAGTTTGCAGCTGTTGCCATGGCAAACGTAGGAGAAAAAAATAGAAAGGCAAAATGTAGATGCATGGAAAGGAACACACTTTGTTTCAAAGAAAATGTATATAGCCGTTTTCACACGTGCACTGCTGAAAGTTTCTAGAGAATTTCACTTGGACTTCATGCTGAAATTCTACCAGGGGGCTGGCAGGAGAAACTCCGAGTTGAAAAATGTGGATGTGTGAGTTCACCCTGAAAAGTTAGGGAGTTTACAGAGAAAACTTTACACTGTGAGGGACGTATGTGAAAAAGCATCTCTTAACAGATTTCAGGAGCATGCTGTACAGGATGTTCTACAAAAAATCTTCAGGAGTGCATGTGTGAAAACTGCTTCAGTAACGCAGAGTCCTTTATCTGGACCCATGATGCCCTCTGGACTCTTTTTCTTGAGTCATACAGCCAAGCTCTCGTCTGCCATCCATGCGTTATCCCCCCCCTGAGATGGGTTCAGCAGTAGTCCTTAATTTATGGCAGCGTGGCAAGCCAAGACAAATCTGTGTTTAGTTTAGCTCCAGCAGCTCCAGCAGTTGTCTAATGGTTTGAATATGCCATCGTAATCTCTGCCAGAGGTAATGTAACATGTACTGCTGGACAACAAGAGTCCAAGTTTCACTGCGTGTACCGCAACAGAACAAGGAACCATTAATGAACAAGTCGTTATCACAGTCGCTGACACATGAAATATCATAAATCAAGTTAACATGGGACAGTAAAATGAAAGATTGCAGGATGTGGAAAATGTGACACCGGTGCGGCTCTTGAGAAAGTCGTTTGGAATTTCAGGAAATTAGCAACATTTCAACCAATAAATGTTCGTCTAGAAATCGAGTCATTTGATCCCTTTAAATCCATCCCTGTAAGCGTTTCAATCCAGTTTCCCCCTTGAATTCCAAAAAACAACCCTCGTGGCACTTTGACCTTCAAAAGCAAGCGCATAGTTGTGTTATTACGGTAAATCCAATTAGAACTGAACTCAACAATAACGCGGAGCCTCGTGGGAATAAGAATGCTGGCAGACAGGTCCCTTCACCGCAGCACTTTTTTTTAATGCCATCTCCACAACGAGCCTGTTCCCTTTTATGAACAGAGACAATGCAGCCCGAGCAGACGAGCACAGACGGATGTGTCTGAGAGGAGTCATGTGGTCGGTATGTTCAGCCCGCTGCGGTGAGACGGAGGAGCTTTTAGAAGAGCTCGTACCATCAGCAGAGAGACGGGACAAAAGGACTGCCTGCACTTTAACGTGCTCTGTGTATTTTTTGATGCTCTCTGCTGTGGGAGGTATACAGTTTAGCCGAGAAGAAACACTTTAATGCGTGCGGTAATTGGCTGTGTGGGAGGAAGTGCTCTTTGGCTAAAAATACAGACGCAACTGTCAACCTTGCCACTAGGTAAGAGTCTCTCAGACGGAGAAGTGCCACTTTTAAAAAGACATATTTTGAGTTCAATGCATTTTAAAGAGAAATGTCAACAAGAGGAAACTCACAGAGACGTACATGTGGGATGTTTTTGACCCCGATGTCCCCGCTAAACGATGTACCTACAGCTCAGGCAGCTGCTCTTAAACTACATTTTTCTAAAAGGTTACAGACATCTTAACATTATTTCTAAGCATTAGAAATCTCAGAAAAGCACACATTAGTCATTTCAAGCTTCTTTTCTTCGGCTGTCTAACCGAAGACGTTTCACCGGGCTCGATACACTTAACATTTCAAAGCATTTACGACAAGCGATGCCTCTACTTACTTTCCGATGTTATCTGGAAGAACTTGTAATGAAATATCATTGATGGAAAGGACTGTGAGATTGCGTAGCTCTGGAAAGCTTTCGGGTAATCTGGAAAACATAAAAACACATGCCACAGTGTGAGATGCCAGCTGAACACAGAGCACACAGAAAATAATGTCATTTAAAGCCTTTTAAACACTTAAGCGAGTACATATTACTGCACAGTAAATTATGAGAACGTTGGACCTATGGATGGCGTGAGAAAGGAGTCTTTTCAGATGGTCATGTGTTGGGTTTGTAAGAGACATTACGGTAAGTTATAAACTGGGCAAAATGTTCAGTTTTCAAACCAAATCATTCGCTGTTATTTAAAAGATCTATTTATAGTCTCCAAAACACAAAAGCCTCACTTCTTCATTCGTGTCATTTAATGAAACGCTGCCAAGACCCAAAGACAGAGAGCACGGTCTAAACTGCACCAGTATGGAGACTGTGTGCAGGAGTTTGTCTGCACTTTGTGGTCATTAAAAACTAGAAATCACAAGAATAGTGGGAATACTATGGATCCTATAATTTAAAACACTTCAACTCAGGTCCTCAGAGATCCTAGAAACACATTCAAATAGTTTAATCTCAGAGTTATGGCTTTGGTTTTATTGTGATCTGCATCATAGATCAACTGCCTTTCAAAACTGTCATCACAGCTTTGCAGCCGTATCGACTCTGTAACATCTGCATCCATACATTTATTTACAAGCAGCAGATGACGATATATTATCATCACCATTTTTTTTTTTCAACAGCCCGAGTGGTTAGGACTTTTTTTTTTGTTGCCGTGTTATCAATCGTTGGATTTTTTTTAACCGGTGCCATACCTAAGTCTGAACTTCTGTTGTCATGACAACCCTTGCATGCAGAGTTAGGTAAGACTACAGCCATAAGTCTTGATAAGTTTATATAAAGTACCTGAGTGTGTGCGCTCCTTATCTTTCCCCCTCTGTCCTCACACTTCAGTTTCAACTCTAACGTCGAATGTTTCGACTTGTTTGAGAACATCAAAAGGATCAAACGTGCTCAAACAATGTCTTAAACTAGTCACAGTGTTGACTCTAATAACACAAAGATTTATTACAATGTTTTTAGCACAGGATATTTAAGCAGTTCACACACACAGTCAGTCTTGATATTCTCCACAAGGCTACTAAAGTGTCTTTGTTCCTCTAATAAAGGATACTCTGTGCCCAACAAGATTTTCACTTTCTAAATGGATTCATTATCTGATGGTTCAAAACAAGTAGCTGATATTTTGAGCACGTTTCTACCTCCTTTTTGATTTTACAAGCTCCTGCAAGATCAGACTACTTTAACGTGCTGCTAGGTGTGGTCACACTTTGAACAAAAGCATGAAATACAAAAAGATTCCTTTTGCCGACTTTCAGCTCAAGTTTTTGTCATTTTTGTTGAATATTTTTAACTCATCTTTGAGTATCCTAAATGAATGTCGGCTCGTCTGACAAAATAGTCTTCACGTAAGAAAGGTTTCTAATCAAAAACATTATTTGGAATGAACAAAATGGAGCTCATTTATTAAAACTTTAAAATGTGTCCGTTTCTTCATGTTCCTGAAGCGAGCTGTCAGCAAGTCTTCATAAACAACCAGCACCTGTTCCTGGTGTCTGGACCTCAGAGCGCTGCAGCGCCGTCTAAACTAAAACTTGTTAATACAAACATCTCATCCAAACAATATGGAGGATGACGTGCACTCGAATATGAGGAGAGATAATACAGAAACTCTATCATGATTATTTCTCCGTTTGGTACTTTTAAGGCTGTTGAGTTAAATGCAAAATAAAGCTTTTCGTTTTTATTATAATATTTGAAATGTCTACTGTCTGCAAACATTTTCACAAGTCTAATTTATATGGAGAATAATTCAAATGAATCCTGACTAACAGCACAAACACATCCCCTTCCTGTTAACCTACAGTCATAAGTACCCCTTTCCTGTTTAACTGTTTTAGTGGTGGAAAAAAAAGAGTGGTAATGAGGTTACTACTGTGGAAACAGAGCGTTAGGAGTGGGGTTTGTGTGTGCACTCTAACAGTATTGAACCCCCAGTGCCTTTGTACTACTATCCATTGTTGTCTCCTGAACTACATACTGCAAAGTAATGAGGTTTGGTCCCTGCTGAGGTGCAAATTAGACTTTGTCACACCCACAGAATGAGAAGCATTTTATGCACAATCAGCGATCTGTCAAGGAGAGTGTATGAAAGTACGTAACAGCACAACAGAGGATTTTCAAAAACTGCAGAATGTGGACAATTAAAATAAATTTCTCTACACAATCATTTCTCTTTTTTAACGATGTGCATCCTTCTTTAACCCTTGCATCATGTTTTTATCTGGATAAAAAGGCATAAAATGTGAAGTGGATGTTGGTAGCAATGCTCCAAACCTTGACGGTTAATATTTAGAAGCAGCCGTTACAAATGGATTATTTATGAAGGGTGGATTTTCTTTTTTTTTTAAATAGTAAAAACACTTTCATCTGTGTGATTACCTTGTTAGTGGATTTCCACTGAAGTCGGCCACTTGGAGGGCTTTGCAGTATGAAATGCTTTCTGGTATCTCCATAATATCTGAATCAAGAGAAAAGAAACACATTACAGGACTTTTTACTTAAATAATAAGCACAAACTAATATACAACACAATCAGCAGTAGTTCATTGATACGAGTCAAACTGAGATGTTACACTAAGTTGTTTAAAATACACATGATAAACGATTAAAAACAAACACAATTCTGGTGCTAAGCTTGGTGAAAAATTGGCATTTTTGTGTTATTTTGTGTTTTGGGGCGGCAGTAGCTCAGTCTGTAGGGACTTGGGTCAGGAACTGAAGGTTGCCGGTTCAAGTCCCGATGCTGACCAAATCTGGAAGTTGGTCTTGTAGCTAAAGAGGTGACAGTTCTCTTCCTGAGCACTGCTGAGGTGCCCTTGAGCAAGGCACTGAACCCCCTCCCTCCACCAGCTCAGGAGTGCTCACTGTGTGCAGCCCCCTCACTCTGACATTCCTCCATTAGTGTGCGTCCAAAAGGATCCTGTTTGTGCATGTGTGTGTACTTCAGCCTATGTGTGTCTCAATAACAGAGAGTAACATTGAATTTCCCCTCGCAGGATAAATAGAATATTTCTTCTTCTACGTCTTAAATCCAGCATAGGATAAAAGAGCAATCTGAACACAAACAGGACTGCAGGTTTAATGTCTGCTCATACAGCAGAAGCCTCCCTGCTGTCTCTAAATCAATGTGTTCAGGTCTATAAAAACAACTCAGAAGATGCAGTCTAATGCAAACCATGCTTCATTCTCATGCCTGTTGGTTGCAGCAACTTCACTCGAGGAGTAAATCTGTCAATGTGATTCATTCGCTGAGCTTAGCGCTGTCTTGCTCAACCCAAACAAAACAAACAAAAAAAAAGACTTCTGGCAGGAGAAAAAATGCTCAGAAACAAACTTTCGAAATGTAATATGTAACAAATGTGATTGTGTCATATCGTTACTGTTTTATAGTTTTATCAGTGTTTCCCCCTTCTTACCATTTCGAGAGACATCCAGTTCTACCAGCTGCATGAAGTTAGCTATCTCTGGTGGAAGTCTCTGGATCTCGTTGTCGCTGAGGCCAAGTTTTCTTAGTTTCACCAGCTGGAAAAATTGCTGAAATGAGAAGAAGAAACGGGGATTAAGTAAACCGCCTTAAAGGGTTTTATAGCATTATGGAAATGCTCTTTGAAGACACTGGTATATGCTGGACTGATTTAAAAGTTATTTTATAACACCAACATGCCAAAAAAATTAAAAAATGACTGACAGATATCAATCGATCTTTATTTGTTTAACGCCAAGTGTTATTTCAAGACACTTTACAAAAAGCAGGTAAAAGACCTTCCTCTTTGTTGTTTAATAGATATAAATTCTTTGTTTTTGTTCCCAGGATCACTAGAATAACAGAAACACAACATCAGATCCTATTGGTTGAGACCTAAATATAATACTAGAAGGGACATTATTATTTTCCGGGGAGATATTGTGATAACCTGCACATATGGATGATGAGGGATATAAATAATAAGTATTTAACTCTTTCTTCTTCTTCCTCTTTGTGTCGTTATTTTTTGACAAGTTTTCTAAGTGAGACTGTTGTGAACTACGGAAGCCCTGAGGAGACATGCATCCATACATCTATGTTGCTTTTTTCCCCATTATTTTAATGATCCACTGTGTCTAAAAGCCCCAAACTAAAAAAAAAAAACTCTTCAGCTCTTCAGTCACATCTTTTAAAAAAAAAGTGCTGCAAGCTGAGAAATCTGTCTGAAGGGTCACTCGGAGAGTGTGCAGAAATTTGCATGCAGTTTTTGGTCATGTGCAAAAAATCAAAAAATCACTAAATAAATATTAGGTGTATGTATTTTATTTTTGTTGCCATGGTATGTAAACAGGTATCGAGTGTTTTAACTATGTTTAAATTTCCGACCCTATTTCAGGGGCTTTGTGAATATGGGGATCACATGAGGTCTGCATAATGTGAAAATGTAACAGGAGCAACAGAACTAACTACAGCAGGGTGAAGGAAATCATGTCTATCAAGCCCCCTCTGCACACACACACACACACCCACACACACACACACACACACACCCACACACACACACAGTCTAACAGCAGGTCTAATCAGACAACATGATTGAACACACCTGTGGAGTTGAACCATGAACAACAGGGACTTTCTAACTCTCACACATCCCTGATTGAAACTTCCATGACTCCTCCTGAGTGTCTGTAAATCCGTCATAACATCACATCAGCTGCGTCATCATAACTGCATGGCTGCTCTTAACAGATGACTAACCGAGCAGGCCGTTTCCACAGAAGACTTTTTTTTTTTTTACATGTCCCAGCAGGAAAAAAAAAAACCGAGTGTAAACAATCAAATCAAAGATGGCTGATTGATTTCATTGAGCTGCTGCAGCTTCAGGTAATATGCATGCTGGTGCTCACTTTCACAGCCTTACTGGAAACCTGAACAGAGACAGGACGTTGATAATGACATACCTGTGCTGCTTCAACAAAGTGACAGGTTAATGTGTCTGGTTTAATGGTGACCATAAATCAACTAACCTCACATGTATCGGCCTGTGAAGGCTTCAGCAGACACTAGACACTGGCAGACATGCTTGTAGATGAATATTTAAAGGACGTTATTTTAAAGAACAAGAAAAAACAGTGCAATAGTGAGTGATAATCTTTCTTTACGATGAGTTGGCAACCAGAATTTAAAAGGTTCAAGACTCAATCATCAGGTTAGGCCTCGGACAGCTACGCAGAACTAATAAAATCGGTTTATTGAGGCCATGGTGACACGCTGCTGGTTAGGAGTACAGAGACCTGCCTTGTTGTCAAACTTGCGAGAGGGAAAAAGATCCAGCTGGCACGCTCATTTTTTAAAAAGGCAAAAGCAATTATCACAAGCACATAGTTGGCACCCATTAAACAGGAGAGCGGGTGGAAGCTTGTCTGAGTGCTGGTAAAGCAGGTAGCGAACTATGCTGCGTCGGGTTCATTTAATGTTTTGGCTTGATCAGAAGAAAAACAACAGCCTCGTGAATTCTCTCCTCTGGCCTTTGTATTTTAAATGCTGCTGCTTTATTGCAGATTAACCTCCATGAGGGCTCGCCCATGTAAGCAGCTGCTAAAACCACACAGATGTCATGCTATCAATCGCTTAAGTTTACTGTGTTGAATTTGATGCTCTGGACTCTTTTGATCTGTAAGTGGATCATTTTGCAAACATTTTTTTCAACTGTGTTTCCTGTTTTTTAAGGTTGTTATTTTTGGCTTATCGGATAGGAGGACAGATTTAGAGACACAGGAACTGTTGGGAGCGAGAGTGAGGACGACAGGCACCCAACAGCGCCAAGATCAGGAGTCAAACCTGGGACCAATGTGCCAGGGACTGTAGCCTCTGTACTTGGGGGACGCCTCCTCTACCAACTGAGGAAAAGCAGTCAGCACACCCACTGCTAGCATATTCCTCTGTGCACCTTCTCTTCTTCTCCCACTTCTGTCCCTGCTCGACAGTCGCACTGCTAACATTAGCATCTGGAATGTATGGCTGTGTTCAACTGTACGCATAAAAGGAGCGGCAAAGTATTCAGTCTGTCCTGTTTTCATTGAAGACAAGAGTTAATGCTCACTGTGGAATCTATCATCCCCCGTGTAAGAGGAAGCCTGACCTGACGTATTCAATGTGCAGCATCTGCAAAATGAAAAGTGAAGAACTTTGTGAACGATTCAAATGCACAAGCTCACATCATATGCCACCACCCAGAGTGAAAATAAGTGTAACAACAGCAAACAACAAGCACACAGCATTACTTTCTGCACAACATAAAATAAACATCCACTACTGACATCGGCTCATGCCACATTAATTTCAGATGTGCCGATGTCTGCCAAAAGGGCCAATAGCGGCTGATACTGATGCATCGCAGCATGCCTACATCACTACAGAAAGAATTGTAACCGACCTAAAAAGTAGCAACAAGTATTTTCCATAACCACCTGTTAAATAATCGAATGTTTTAACATGTTAAAAGATTTCAAAATGTGAAGGAGAACACTTAGTCCAAAGGTTGCAACATTTTAATTCTGCAGGGAAAATATCTTTATTTTTTTTAAACTCAACTTACTTCATATTATCTTTCTGCCCTGGAGCTGTACAATCAGGTACATGTATTATGTTTTCTCTGGAGGTAACTGCATCTCAACAAGGATGCAAGAATAAAAAAATAAAAATATCTGGAACTATAGACGCTAAGCTTTGATTGGGTTTCATTGTATACGCTTTGGGTTGCAACAGACAATTTGTGCCCATCACCATACAGTAAACTTACTCTCACACTGACATAACATTACCAGACCTAATCATGTCCAGTTAATCTCTTATTATTGCATCTCATGTAGTAATGTAAACCACTGCTTCCCCTCAAACTACTAAACCTGGTGCAGTAGAAGTGTTCTGTTTCTTGTATGAAGGTCAGGAGGAAAGTTTTAATTTTAGGACTCTCGTGATGCAATGATCATGTCATGCCAGTCCGATCACCTGCAATCTGACCTTGTAGCCAAATGTCCATGCAATGTGCTAAATGTGTTTGCACATTTGGAAATAAACACTTGTGATCATGTGCACTTACACGTACACATTGTCCAGATATGAATCCCATTTTGATAATGTGTGCAGAAGAAATACGACTCAAAGAGTCCAAAAGTCAAACTGCACCCTGTTACTAAATGCACATGTTGATCCAATGGTCTTAAGGCAGCTCAAAGAATCGCTAATCCATCATTTAATCGAGCAAACAAACCTGCACATTTGCAAGTCCTGACAAATGGCTGAGTCTTTGCAACCTGACCACATTCATTTCACTTTCACATTTCACTCTCTGTTATCTAGGTCTGCGATCCACGAGCTCAAAGATTGACCTCCTCGTGCTATCATCTTAGCTTGTGCAGACTTGTTCATTTCTAAAGAACCTAACCTGAACTTTACCCAATCTGGGAAATCATACACGTTCAGGTTGATTTTACTGTTGTGTTTTTATCACAGTCAGACTTCCTCCTTGAACCACGCCACTCCTTCATGACACAGCAGACACTGCAGGAAGTAAAGTCAGGAATCCTTTAGCATCACGTGAAATGAAATGCACCTTCATTCAACTGCTTTCATGTGGCCTTTTCTAATCCTCTTGATAACAATAAAGACAATCAGAGGAGGAACAACGAGCATAAGCAAAGCTGTTTAATCATTCTGGTCACACTTCTTCAACAGGCTTTGTGAGTCTTGTATATTGACAGTAAACCTGTTCTTCATGTTGGTGACCTGCAACGCCCCAAACAACTCCCCATGTGTGACACACAAATACCAAAACAGCCTGAGAGTCAAGTATTCATTAAACCTCTCAGTCCGAGTCAATGTTTAAATCTTCAGTTTTACCTTCAGCCATGTTTGTTAAGAAACAAGAGGAACCCTGACAGAGGTTTTCATGGAGTAAGGAAACTTAAGCTCTAAACAAAACACCATGAATGTATTTGTTCAATTAAAAGAAAGATGTGTTTGTCTTTTATAAACAAAGAAGTTATTATATTACCCATTAAAGAGTCGATTAGAGTTGTCACAATACCAGAATTTTACACTCTAATTAAATAATTTTACACAAACTAGAACCCGACTGATAAATCGGCCAGCCGATAATATCGGCCGATATTTGCGTATCAAGTGACTATCAGTGTTGGCTAATTTCATTGTAGATATGTGAAGTTATTACAGGATTTATTCACCAGTCAAAGAGCATTTAATTTGAGCGTCATTGTATTACACTAGCAGTTCTCTTTCACCAGCAGAGGGCGCTATATGGGTTTAACCAAGCATCATCACTCACCAGTGTCAAGCTGCATTTGAGGGATCAACGCAATAAATGTGTATATCTATATCAAGCTATCTCTAAAGATTGAACATCGATCAGAGAAAGATATCGGCCGATATATCGGTATCAGATATTTTCTCTTCCTAATATTGATATCGGTATCGGCCCCAAAAATCCCATATCTGTCTGGCCCTAACTCAAACAATATTGATACCAATGTGACAATTATTTAAG